CGGGCATAACTCCAGAACCTGTCAAGTAGTTATTACTTCGTCTGAGGAAGAGGAATCTGAGTAATTCCAAACAATTCAATGTGTGGTGGTTAAGTATAGGCCGATTATGTTGAGGTGGTCGGGTTGGAGTGGCCAGCTCGCTTATCTGGCCAGCTCGCTTATCATCCACGTTATATATAGTGTGTACCAGAAGTTTCTTCATCAGAAGCATGTTAGACTATCAATTTGCTATCAATACTAAAATAATAGCAACTACTCTAGCTTTCTGATGTTTACTGGAACAGCCCTCATTGAATCCAAGTCCTTCTCTAGCACTTTAAGCCTTTTCGATTGATCAACAAATTCCTGACCCTCTCGTAGACTTTGGATTGTTGCTCGTCGATCCTCCGTGTAGACCGTGATCTCATCTGCGTTGTATCCCTGTCCATAATCGTGATTGTTTAGATCATCGTCAACAATAAAAGTAATCCATCGATCTTGGATCAGATAGACAAGGTCTATATGTTTCGCCCGAACAGGGTCTAAGCTTGGTCGAAGTAGTGACATCAGGCCTGTGCTCTTTAATTGCTCAGACTCGTCCAATTTCTTCAGATGATCGTGATAACAGTCAAAGAGATATATTACTTCAACCCCGTGATGTGGCACGCGTTCGACAAACCCTGGAAAAGGGTTCCCAAACCTCACCTTGTAAGGTTGGATGTTGATTGCCTTTCCATTCTTATGCCTGTAAGAGTGGTGGAACTGTCTGGCACGTACAATTGAATGAGAGATGACGGCATCGGAAAGAAACACAGCCAAGCGCTCTCGAAGCGCTGGAAGAGGAATGCTGGACACAATCCCATACGTGTCAAGGGCTTCGTCAGCAGTAGCATCTGATGGGTAGGACATCCTGAATAGCTTGTGAATCTGGTTGAAGCTCTTGATACCGGCTACCACTTCTGTGTAAATTAGGCCTGACTACTCATGACAGCAGGTTAGAAATGCAGACGAATCGTATCACAGATCAATGTGTGTGAAATAAAAACTGACCTCAAGTTCCGTATCGCCAATCAGTAGAGGGACTGGGTCGTCGTCAGGATTCTCGGCCGAGGATGTCTCCGCTCCCTCGATCTTTCCCAAATCTATTCGGACCTCGCATCCAAGCTGCGATGTTATCAACGTGTGTTCATCTTTGACAATTTTCCATATCATAAATCCAAAGTGGCTTGCCGAGCTTAGTAAATCATCGGCAGGAAGATGCCTCAGGTAATCAACCCTCTCCTCGCTCTCATGATTTTCGATATTCCAATACTGACATAGATTGCCCCAGTTGCCATCAGCTTGAGTCAAAGATATCGGACCGCAAGTACCTATCCCACCTGTGACCACCCATAAGTCAGCACACATCAGCACACATCTGATCCGTAACCACAGCATGTATCATTCTAATGTATACACCACACTTGCTTACCAGATTGGGCTATTCCTTTCCGGAACACCGGTTTGGTATGCCCGAGTTCTGCCTCAAGAGTATGTATCTGTACGGAGTGGCCCCCTGCAGAGTGGCCGCCGATTGTGATCCTTTCAGGATCGCCACCAAAGGCGGAGATGTTTTGTGATATCCATGTCAAAGCAACTTTCTGGTCACGGAGGCCAAAGTTACAGCCTTTTGCAGAGGCTCCCTCTTGAACCTTGAGAAGGTCGTGTGACGCAGCAAACCCGAAGATGTTAAGACGATAATTGATGTTGACCACTATCATTGGTTTTCCAAGATTGAGAGCGCGTATGGCGAGCCTTGTCGGTTCTAGTTAAAACAGTCATCGCGTCAGTCTACCTGAATATTAAATAGATCTGACTTAAAATGAGGACATTACGGAATTCATACCCCAGAAAGGATCCGTTCCTGCACCGTAGATGAATGCACCTCCGTGTATCCAGACAAACACGGGGATTTTGTCATCCACCTTCCTTCCTCGTTGCAGTAGTGCTGCCGGACTTGGTCTCACAATGAACAGATTTAGACAATCGAACTCAGACTCGACCACCTCAGAGGAATAGTCGAGATGCGACTGAAACGTTTCAGGATCAATCCCTTCATCTGGCTGTGGACATCTAGGACTGATCCAGAGACCCATTAGAAGGCTTCCGAACACAAAAAGACACGAGCTTACCCATGTTTTGTCGCTTCATATATATCACGAGGAAGAGAGGTCCTCAGGGTGGAATGCTGCCATCGCTGGGTTATGTCCGCATAAGGAATTCCCCTAAACTCTTCGATGTCTTGGCTCAATTGCGAACGCTTTCCAATCACCGTCTGGATGCGACTGGGCACGGTCTGGCTAGGAACCATGACAATTGGAGCCTTGGGAAGATCTCGAGAAGACATTTTGGGCGGCAAGATCTAGCTTCGTGGTAATGTCTAGCAAGAAAGAAGGGAGAGCCATAGAGCAATCTTAGTCAACTTTGTAGCCAGGAAAATACATCCCATCTGCGCGATAAGGAGTGCTTACCATTAGATCAAGGACTTTGGTCTAGAGGTAAGAGCCGGTCCATCCCAGAGTAAAAGATAAGAGGTGGGGTAAAGTGCTGGAACACGAGTAGTGGGAGAATTTTGTGGGGTTGCTCGCACTCCATTACGGCTTCTGGAAATCAAAGGGGGAGGGAGGTAAACACAGTTGTAGGCATCGCAGTAAGGCGCCGCTGACACAATCGCACTATATGACCAAGATGGTGAAGGGCTGGCGCTACGAACCTGCACAGACCATCTTAGACAGCCTTAGTATCTGTGGAAATCTCGACGTTCTTGTAAAGTGGATTAAACTCAAGCATTATCCGGTGCGGGACGGTTTGACATAGGGTGCACTTGTATGAGATTGTATGCTTTCAGAGTAAATTGTAAAGACAGTGAAACCTGGCTAGTATTAGGTGGGGCTGTGCCAACCTGGAAGGCTTCACACCTACATCGTATGTCGGACTGCTGATAAGAAGCTTTCCAACCAAGAGCGGAGAAGAAGTGCGGCACCATCGTACAGGCCTCGACATCAGAAGTTAGCCTAATCTGCAGCTAAAAATAAATGATCATGAAAAATCACGCCTCTGACCCTTAAGACTCGCTGTTGAATGTTGAGAACATTCCTACGTATCAAGGCTCACAACATAGGCGAGATGTTTCTTGTATGAGACGATAGCAGAGAGAGCATTCACACCAGTGCTTGTCTATCACTACGAGTTTAGGTGGTACTGCACAAGACAAGCTTGACGACTCACAATGGAACGAGTCGATCTGCTTATCGTTGGCGCAGGTGTGTACTCGCACGTTCGGTGTCACCTTTTTCCTCAAGCATATCCCATTCATTACTTTGTCGTCCATGGTACTCAGGAGTACTATACCGTCTCTTGGCGAGATGGAACATGGAATCCGTGGCGCTGTGCAGCACCAAAAGTGGAACATACAACTAATTTTTCCTAGGCTGGCATGGACTTGCAATGGCCAAGACATATCTTGAAGCGAGTCCCCTCGCTCAACCAAGTGTTGTCATCGTTGACTATGCCGAGTCTATTGGGGGAAGCTGGGCCAGAGAGAGGCTATATCCAGGTTTGAAAACCAACAACGCCGTCGGTACATACGAGTTCAGCGACTTTCCATTAGACTTGAAGCATTACGGTCTTAAGCCTGGTCAGCATATCCCTGGAGCAGTCGTTCATCAATATCTCTCGGATTTTGCAGAGCACTACGGCTTGAATTCTCTCATCCGTTACCAGACGAAAGTCGATGCAGCCACACTGCAGGACGACAACACATGGATTATTGAGTATTCTTCAGTTGCGTCGCCAAATGGTTCAGCATCCAAGCCAACCGTTGGTCAAATAATGGCATCCAAGCTAGTCATCGCCACCGGCACTACATCACAACCTTATATGCCTACATTCCTTGGGCAAGATAAGTTTAAAGGGAACTTGTTCCATTCAAAGCAACTCAAGGCTCGAGCCCGAGACCTGGCTACTTCCCGCTCTGTCGTGGTGATCGGTGGAAACAAATCAGCATGGGACGTTTGTTACACTGCCGCAAGCTCCGGAGCTCAAGCACATATGGTGATGAGGCCTTCTGGAGGAGGTCCTAGCTGGGTATGGCGTCCCATACAAATCGGCTCCTTCACTACATCACTTTCACGCTTGAGTGTGACTCGTCTACTCACCTGCTTTGACCCGAGTCCATTTGGGAGAGTTTACAAGGCACTACGAAAGTTACTCCACTGCACAACCCTTGGGCGCATGGTCTGTTCGCTCTTCTGGGCCAGCCTCGACCGCCATGTGCAGAAAACGAACGGATATCGAGAAGATGCTCGGGTTGGAATGCTTCAACCTTGGACTTCAACATTTTGGATGGGTAACTCGCTGAGCATCCACAATTACGAGACTAACTGGTTCGACCTTGTCAAGAGTGACCAGATTGCGGCTCAACATGCCGATGTGGTTTCTTTGACAGAGACCACGGTACATCTCTCGAATGGGGAGATACTTGAGGCCGACACAATTGTGTGTTGCACCGGTTGGATGTCTCTCCCGAGTATAAAGTTCAGTCCACCATGGGTTGCTTCAAAAATTGGACTTCCTGGGGGCAGCGTCAAGAATGGGCAACATGATTCTGAGCGACAAACGGGACTCGACGGACTACAGAAACAGGTTGATGAACTTGAAGACAAACAAGGGCCAGGAACGAACAATTCATCTCTTGTGGCCAATGTTCGCAAGCATATTATGGAATCAGTTCCAGAACTCAAGTCAAAACCTTTCAGATTCAGGCACGAACTGGTTGTAAAAGGTGAACAAGTTGTCGAAAAGGGCAATCCAAGAGATATTGGTCACTCCGTACAGGAGGATAATGCGCCTTACAGACTATACCGCTTTATCGTACCGCCACACGAAGAATTCCTCAGAATGCGCAACCTGGCTTTCATCGGAGAACACCTATCGATTCATGCCGTGATGTTGGCACAGGCTCAAGCCTTGTGGATTACAGCCTACTTCCAAGGCAAGTTACCAGCTCTGGATGCTGATTCTGTTCGCTACGAGACGTACTTGCACACAGAGTACGAACGTATCAGAAGGCCGAAAGAGGCAGGAGGATCAGGTGGACGTTTTCCCGATCTCGTGTTTGACAGTCTTCCCTATGTCGACTTGTTACTAGAGGACCTTGGCTTGCAGACGATGAGAAAGCGGTCATGGTGGAGGAATATGTTCGTGCCGTATAACCTGCACGATTACCAAGGGCTTGTCAAAGAGTTTCTAGGTCAGAAAGGAGGGATGTGACAGTATTACCTATAGATGATCAACCTCCGCGTAAATAGTAAAAGCCTGATACTCCAACCATGATAAGAAACTATTCGATTTGACATGACAAAATTATAATATCTTGCTAAAGTGTCTAAAATCTAAAAGTCCCACTGCGTCAAAAGGGTTCGTGGGCCAGTCCTCCTAGCCGGCAAGGCAGAGCGTTCGGTGTTAGGGTCAGGAACAGGACCCAAGGTACAAGTCTTGACTGGCCTCTCAAGCCATTTGTATCGACTCTTGTTCTAATAGTTGATAGATGCCCAGGCTTTCCAGGGAAGCAGACTTTGACAGATTAGCTAGTACTTTTCTTAATTAGCGGGTAAGAAGCCAAGGGTAATAGCACTACATGATTACCTCTAGAACAGGACTGTGCCCAATATACTTAGATACTGCGTAGTTAGGCCTTGAACATATTTCAAAGATAAGCGCGGTTAGATATCTTAATAACAACAAACGCGAACATGCTCTAAATAGGCCCTCTCATGCTATAAGAGTGCTCTCGCTACGATATCGACATCGATGCAAAGAACTGTAGAGAGATCTCTACTACCTAGAGGGAGATCATGACGACGAGCATGTCTATCAGCGAGACTGTGGCGATGATGCCGAGTCCTGTGGTGAAATATGGCGACGATCGTGACAGGCCACTTCCAGAACTACAGATTCTCCAAAGCGCAACAGCCACTGCAGAAGCTGTTGTGGCCGCTTTAGTCCAATCCGGTGGCTGTGTCGTCAAGAATCTCATACACGCCGATGGATTAGCAGAAATCGAGAAGGATACTCGGCCATACCTTAACGCCGCGGACACATGGGAAGGTTCGTTCTTCCCAAAGGAGACACGTCGTGTAACAGCGTTAGCGGAGAAGTCCACGGCATTCATGGAGACCATCGTCGGCAACAAGCTCTACCAGGACCTTTGCAAGATCATGCTACGTAGCACCGTCTCGAACTGGCTGGGCGACGAGCAAAAGATTAGTACGTCGTACCCCCAAGTCAACAGCACCTTCATCCTCTCTGTCGGTCCTGGTGCTCGCGCACAAGGCCTACACCGAGATAGTACGATGCACCACATGAATCCAACGAGAAAGACCGCGGAGGAATATCAAATTGGGCAGGACCCTGAAATCGGCATTTTTGTATGTGCCAAAAGAACAACCAAGGCGAATGGTGCCACGCGGTTCATTCCTGGTTCACATCTCTGGGACCCAGATACTCCACCAACCGAGAGTCTCACCCGTTACGTTGAACTCCAACCAGGCGATGCCTTTTTCATGCTTCCTTCATGTCTTCATGGAGGTTCTACCAATACTACAAAGGATGAGGAGCGACTGCTCTACGGAGCGTTCATGACCAAGAGTTATCTACGTCAGGTACGGAATCTATTCTACTTGTTTCTACTTATAAATAGAGGTGTCAATCCGCTGATCTTTTATAGGAGGAAAATCAATACTTGACCAATAATCACGAAAAGCTTAAGAAGCTGCAAAGCACCGAGATGTTGAAGCTCTTGGGCTATGACCTCAGCAGACCTTTCTTGGGATGGATTCAAAGCGGCAATCCTCTAACTGCTTTGTTTGAGCCTGCGGAAAAGGGAAAGACGGATTACTATTAGGTATTATGTATTTGAAAACCAAGTCAGCTTGGTTTGTTTAGCTATTATCAAGCGAGGAAACCGGTTGTTGGCCTGAGGCTCGATCAGATGCCCCCTGCTGACACAGAGAACCGGCATGTTGTATTAGAAACCTGCAGGTCAGAAGGCATTCACACTTTTCGGTACTGAAGCTGGGTATTACGCAATCACTAATCTCTCAAGGGATGCAACTTGGCTCCGAGAATCACTTACTGAATCCAAGATTCCACTATCAATTCAAAAATATAATCTTAGATGCCCACCCATTCCGCCGACTTGTCAAACACCGGAAACCGCTCCATCGTCTTCTCTGCCCCCTTCAGATTCTCCTGCAAAACCTCCCTATGTGCCTTGCTGCGCACACGGATCTCGCACTGGAACGGATTCGGTCGGATATTAAACCCCTCGGTGTAGTCGAAGATGTCGTATGTGACGCCTTTAAGAGGTTTGATGTCATACGCCCAGAGCAACTTGGACATGGCAGCGAATAGGCTATTCACGGCGAGGTCTGCGCCGGGGCACACACGCCGGCCCCAGCCAAAGGTGCTGTGACCCATCTTGCTGTTCGGGTGCGGCTCGCCCTTGTCATCCGACTCGTCCGGGCGCGCATACACGAGCACCTCGGCGGGTGACAGGAAGCGCAGCGGGTTCATGCGGTGCGGGTTCGGGTAGTACCTTTCATTCATGTTTATGGCCCACGAGTTGCCCAGGACGGTCGTGTTGGCGGGGATGTGATAGCCGGCGTACTCGTCGGGCTCGCTGGTGGCGTGCGGCTGGCCTCCGAGCACGGAAACCGGGCGCCAGCGCAGGACTTCCTTGCACAAGGCACGGATATACGGTAGGGAGGGCTCGTCGGCGAAGGTGGGTAGGCGGTTCGGGCCGACCACGCGGTCAAGCTCGTCGTGGGCGGTCTGGAGGACGTGCGGGTGGGTGACGAGGGCGAGTATGGCGCTGCAGAGGGTCGAGGCGGTGGTGTCACTGCCAGCGCCGAAAATAGCCGCTGGCAGGAACGAAAAGTCACGGTCGGAGAGAATGCTGAAGGATTCGGGATTGGCCTTACGGGCGAGGAGGAGGATCTTGCACAGGCTGTCGGCAACATCAGACGGGTCCTTGGCCGTGTCCAGGTCCTGTTGGACATCCTCGACTAGAGCCATGTTGAACGCCGCTTCTTCATGGCCACGGCGTTGGACCTCGGCTTTCCAGGGCGCAATGGCGTTGGGCAGGTATTTGAGAAAGGGTAGGCTTTCCACGAGAAATGCACCCGGAACGTTGAGCGAGGCGACGTAGACCATGAACTCTTGGCGTTTTTTCATCGTCTTGTCCTCGAGCGAGTCGATGCGATGGCCGTAGCTGACGGTGAAGACGATACTGGAGGTGAAGCGCTCAATGTGGCGCTCCCAGCTCGCAGGAGCTTCGAGTAACTGGTTGCACAGACGAACGGCTTCAGCCTCTTGGACTGGTTGGTACAGGCTGAGAGCGGTCGGTGTGAGCGCCGTGTGGAGGAGCTTTCTCCGAATAGACCACGCTTTACCGTACGGTTGGACTAACATCGTGGCCATGTCCCAGTAGAGCTCGCCCATAGTGACAAACCGCGGGCGGGAGCTGTACTTGCTGCTGCGCTTTTCCATGAGTTCGGCAGCCACGTCGGCGTCGGAGATGATGCAGGTAGGTCGACGGCCGATCCAGATTGTGAAGATGGGGCCATAGATTTTGCTCCATTCCTGGAATTGGATCCATGGGTGTTTCCGTGGGATGGAGAGCTTATTTCCAATGAATGGCAGTGGTCTTGGTCCCGGGGGCATACGCATCCATCGGAGAATGTCGACGAAGAAGATGGCCGTGGGGATTAGGGCCAGGACGAGCAGGATGGAATACCAGGTTGAAGTGAACGAGTCAGGGGACATGTTGGAGAGCGGAAGACTGATAAATACTGGACTTGTCGTTAGGCTGTCTGAACTCGGCGTCTATGATGATTTATTAAGGAACTGACTTGATTCAAGAGGGTGATGGGAGTATGTACAGTTACATGTGTGTGAGATATAGGTGGCCCGGTAGCGTGAAGAGAAAGCTAAACCAGTTAGATAGGAGACAACATAGTATAGCCAGGTGTGATCCAAGGTGTTGAACAATCGACGCTCACCCGAAGGTCTTTTACCATTACTCGGGAATTTTAGTAAAGGCACCCAGTTAGATGCACGAATCTAGTAGAAAATATGGTTGACTCGTTGCATGGCGGGATTATATAGATATTGTAAGTTCGCTATCACTATCGTTGTAGTATCTAGCTTGTCTTCCGTGAAGCTCCTATACAAACACAAATAATATAGATTCTTGTCCGGCTTTCGGTGATAGCGTCTAGATAGCATTAAGGCCGGGGTCGCACGATGGCACTAGACATTGGTGTCTGTTCTACGACGATACCCTTTGAAACACCCAGTATGTAATGGTAGTCGATATTTCACTAGTACCAGGCCATTTATTCCCTCTTAGATCTAGGTTGGTAAACCAAGATAGTAGTCTGAAGTACAGCTGTCTTTACCATTCGTTGTTATATATGTCTATTTTGCAGACCGGTGGCTGGCACTTGGAGGAAATAGACCCTGCCATAGCAGCTGGTCCTGGTTGCCTCAATTGAAAGCTGAAGATAATCGTTCATGCTTGAAGAATAAAAAAGAGTTGAAACCTAGTTGCATGGGTTTTGTAACACTATCACCATGAGCGTATGCCAAAATTGCAGATTGAGAGGCTGTATCCTAGTACAGGTCTCCTTTTCCTTTGGCCGCAAGCTCTGGGCGTAAGAACGTCAGCGGGTTTCCTGTGTTGATCCATCCAAGGAAAGGAGCGCTTATATCATAGCCAATAAGCTTGAGAATAGTATCATCATCGTACATGACCTTCAGCTTCTCCGGGTCATTGTTGAGATACTGGTTCTCCTCCTGCACACCTGTTAGAAAATGACCTCTTTGGCTTCATACTCTTGGTTCCACTATACCTGTCTCAAGAATCCTTTGGTCATGAAGGTTGTATATACCAACCTCTCGTCATTGTCCGTTGTGTTCGCAGATCCACCATGGAAACAAGACGATAACATAATGAATGCATCCCCAGGGTTCAACTCGGCGTAGTAAGTCAAGTCCTCGCTCGGAGGGGTGTCGGCATCCCACAGGTGTGAACCCGGTATAAATCGGGTAGCACCGTTCGCCTTCGTGGTCTTCCTTGCACCAACAAACCAGCCAATACCTAGATCCTGCCCTATCTTGTAGTCTTTAGCCTCCATCCTCCTGGTGATATTGTGATGACCCATATCGTCTCTGTGCAGTGGCTGATCTGTAGCCCCAGGTCCAATAGAAAAGATGACTGTAGCGTTCACCTGAGGCTTCGAGGTACAAGTAAGCTGTTTCTCACCAAGCCAATTCTTCGACGTGGTCGAGAGCATGATATCGCTGACATCCTGGTACAGTTTGTGGCCAGTTACCTTCTCCATAAAAGCTTTTGATTTAGAGGCAAGAGAATTGACGCGACGGGTCTGGCGGGGGAAGAATTCGCCATTCCATACTCTGTCCTTTTCGATATATGGGCGGGTTTCGACATCTATGGCGGCGAGGGATTCGGTGTCCACGGCGTTGCGAATCACAGCACCGCCTGCTTGAATGAGGCCGGCTACGACTTGTTCTGGAGTGACTTTGCCGAATTCGAACACCGGGACTTCGGGGAGAGGTCGAAGACGGTCGTCGTCGACACTTGTACTGGTCACGGTTTCGGTGATGGTAGCCGACATTTCGGAACCCGTGTGAAGGAATGCTGATAGAGGTGGTTGTTAGTCGACTAGGAGTGCGATCATTACAGAGTACAAGAGAAATACTTACCTTGCCTGATAAACAATATCTAATAGATTCGCAATTAGAGTCTAGAACATAAAATAACAACCTAATTCTAGCGCTTATTATATCTTTCGACCATCAACTTGACGACCAACTAAACCGAATCCTACTTAGTAGCTGTACGAAGTACTTCAATGAATACTAGTCAAGACAAAAGACCGTGGGATTATTAATAATGGAAACTGCTGGCTTGCATACGTGATACGCGCCTAGATAAGCCTGTTTCACTTGTAATGTGCATGTTCCTTTGAGTTAGTCCAACATGCAATTCAAGAACAATGTCCCTGGCGCAGCTGTGCTGCCTGCCCCTGCCGTCCCGGCATTAGGATCAACCACTCTCGTCAACGACTATAGATATGTCGTGTACTTATTTTTGTGCAACTATTCAGAGGTTGGATCCCCGATCCACGTGATGCGCTTATAGATAAAGAATTGCGCTTAGATAAAGATATATCCAAACTACATAGGAGATTCTATCCCTGGACTGAGGGGTTTCTCTTTAGAGGGGAGTCGTCATGCTCTGCCGCCGTTCTTCCTATGTACCTCTTCCTTCCATCTTAAATTCCCTGTCACAATTTTAAGCTAGTCCGACTTATTGAAGTGTACTTGTCTGCTAGGTTTGACGAGCATCCTCGTGGTGGCTTATGTGCGCGTTATCACCGCCCATCCCTCACGCGCTTATCTTTGCGCAACCCCTTCGGAAGTGTCATCCCCGTACACGAACAGGCTGTCTATGTTGTCGACGACGTCGAAAGAAGTGTGATGAACAGAAGCCCACTTGCGCCGGTTGCCAAAGGAATTCTCTTATTTGCTTATGGCCCCAGTCCTCGTCACGGACCAGATCCTCAAACAATAGCTGCACACTTCAATTGCAGTTGGGAAAGAATATTGGGGACTCTGCAAACTTCGTCGAAAACTCGTCTTCCTGTGAGGATGAGGACGAGGACCAGGTGATCGAGTTTATTGATGGAGCTTCTACTCCACGCGGCCACAATTGCTACTCTGGCACACTCAGATCTCCTTCGGTCGGCTCTGCCACAAGCCTCTCAGGATTATATAGGAGCCTGATTGGCCCAGAAGGCATTACGTTCCAAAACTCCAGATCATGGATTCTCTTTGACCACTTTGTTGCTCACACTGTTCATCGACTTGCTGCCACACCAAGGACACACAACCCTTATCTTGCTTATGTACTGCCGCTGGCTTCCTCGGAAAAGTTGATCATGGACAGCGTACTGGCCTTGAGTGGAGTGCATCTGTGTCACAGATTGAAGGATCCGGAACTTGAAGCAATGTCATGGAAATATTATGCATCGGTATTGCTTGACCTCAGGCATAGGCTGGCTCGGAAGAAAGAGGGCAACGACACGGAAACGCTCCATTTGCTCCTGACGGCCTTGATACTGGCGCAAGTCGAGGTCAGTCATTCTTGTAATGTTTGCGGAGATTGGTGATCTAACCAGGCTTTGCAGTCAATCTCAGGCAACACCCAGGGAGCAGTGTACCACCATCTTCGTGCAAGCAGACAATTTGTTCTCTCGATGCTCGTGGATTCGGGAACCCATGAAATCAGGGCCCTCCGTGGCTTTCTCCGTGAACTATACGCCTACTTAGTCCTGGTGGGGACAATTACACTGAATGCAGAATCTGAAGACCGTGTCATTGAATTCGACCCATTCATGTCCTCACTCAAGTCACTCAACGACATCAAACCCTGCGGCGAAATGTTTGGATGTTCGCACGGTCTGTTCGAGCTCATGCCTCGTGTGTCTGAGCTAGGGAAACAACGTCGGCTTGAGGAAGCAAGCGGTTATTGCACTTCAGCAAGCTTTGCTTTCTATCAGTTACTCGAGTCAAAGATTCGCGGGTGGCAAGTGCCCGAGAATCTTGAAGGAGACGCAGATTGGGTCGACCAACTTGGAATGGCGGCTACCATCCATCAACATACGCTGCTCATATTCCTGCACACAACCTTTTATGGCTCCAGTGTTGAAAGTCCTCGTCTCAGAGATATGGTCGATGAGTCAGTCTCGGTCATACTTCCACTATGGAAGGCATTGTATGCCACTGAACCCATGTCACCCTTGGTGACTACGATGATATGGCCGGCAATGATTGCCGGATCCTGCTCACGTCGGCCGGAACAGCAAGGCGTTATTCGAAGCGAATTGTCAAAGTCCCATTATCATATGAACATCACTAAACGTGCCATTCAGCTTCTCGAATGGCTGTGGGAGGATCAGAGTGACCAAGCCTACGGTCCTTTCGGTCTGGAGGTAATGATGAAGAAGCACAATTTCAATATCTGCATGGCCTGAACGAGACTTGCTACTAAGATTGAAATATCACTCATTCGTTTTTCCAGATTCCGGACCCTTATCCGCAAGATGAACCAGACCGGCCGAGGCAACAGGAGTGTATCCGCCTCTGAGAGCAGATGTCCAAACGTGCGACAGTCTAGACGAGACGCAGCATCGGAGGAAATTTCTGACTGCAACAGCTCTTCCACATAAGACCCAACAATGCACCGGGATGAAAAGGTGACTTGGACATGATCAATGCCCAAAATCAAGACCTTCAAGCCAAAGAGGTTGGCGGACCGACAAGTACCCGTTGCTGGGGCCTCCCGCCCAGCGGCGGTGGCAGTGGAGAAGGAAAAGCCGGGGACGGAGGAGTAGGAGTACGTAAGTGTGTTGGGTTTTAGGGATGGCGAGTGAAGGGGCGAAAGGTATGGGGTTTTCTGGGAACTGGCGCAGTAGGTGAATGGAGCGATAAGATGTTTTCTTCAAGAAAGAAGTACGTCAAGTTATGTCCATGTCTCGTTGTGGTCGTGGCAACCAGGTCAAGATAGCAGCTATAAGACGAAATCGACGAGTGCTTGATCATTATCGAGTTGAAACTTAAGAGAGTAATCACAACGAGACTTTGTCTTCTAGGAGCTCAAGCGGTTAGAGCTACAGAGGCAGGCACACTGTCGACTAACCTTTGCGGGAGTTCCAAGCCGTCGAGATAAGGTCGAGTTCCCAGAGTGCCTCGACAAAGGGATGCCACGGGACACCAGCGTACAGAGTAGTGTGGCGATACTTCTGGCCCCACGCATTTGGGTCCACTGTCCGGAGCAGCCGTACGAACAGCAAAACATGGATCCACTACCTACGGAGTAAATTGCTTCAGCTGCAGCGCTTAGATAAGAACTCTACAACCAGGGGTGCAGCTGTTCAATGTCATCTGGATGAATATTACCCGTCATTTACGGTATTTATTTGGTATGTAGTTACTATGAATACAGGGAAGTTAGGACCAGGTAGGCGAGTACACTCAAGAGCGTTCTTCAAGCCTCAGCCCCTAGGTCAGCGTGGACGCGGCTGTTGCCCGTGCTAGAGCTCTTATCTAACTAGCCTTTTGTTCGAAGCCCCTATATGTATATAACTCGATTTCACCCATTGATCGGTCGCAAGCAAGTCAAGAATATCCCAGAACATCTCTGAAAGCAGTCCAGCTCACAATGGATACGAAACAATTGGCACTCACCGAAACTGCTGGCAAAGGTACGTCAAACTCGGAGCTGGCAAAGGGAAATTGGTGACTGATGAAGATAGAGGGCGTCGGGCCAATTGAGAGTGGTTGGTCACTTGCCTGCCGTGTTCGCAGCCCTCACAGCTAATCCTGGAAATCCAGTTATTTCTCATGATGTTGCCACTGGTCAGGTGGTCGACTTGGCCGTCCTGGGGCTCCAAGAGGAGATCAAACGTGACATTGGGACCTTCGATCTCCTTTGTTTGGCTTGGAATATTTCCAACTGTTGGGCTGGTGTCTCCGCTACCATCGCTCTTGGAATTACCCAAGGGGGCACTGTTACCATGATCTACGGAATACTCATAGTTGCTCTCTTCATGGGCGGCACCATCTTAACTCTGGCTGAGCTGGCAAGCGTTTACCCAACCGCTGGTGGTCAGTATCATTGGACATCCATTTTATCGCCACCCAGTATCAGCAAAGGCCTTGTTAGTACGCTCGCTTCCTTTTTGAAGATATACTAACATATTACTACAGAGTTATCTTTGCGGAGCCTCCAATGTCTGTGGCTGGGTTTCCCTCGGCGCCGGGACCGCCATCATTCCAGCCCAAATTGTCTTCAGCATGGTGGTCTTCTTTCATCCGGATTTCGAATCCAAGCCATGGATGATCTTTCTCATCTATCAGGGTGTCAATTTTGTACTTGCTCTCAACAATATCTACGTTCAGAAACGTGCAAGTTGGATCCACGACATTGGTCGTAAGTTAAGTCTGTCCCTTTATCGCTCTCCCTGCTTACAAGAAAATAGTCTTTATATCGGTCTCTTTCTTTCTGATTATCCTTATTACCTGCCTGGCCAGGACTCCAAAATTTCAGACCAACGAGTTTGTTTGGACTACCTGGGTTGATTACTCCAATTGGAATGCTCCAGGTCTTGTGTTCTTCTTTGGAGTCGTCAATCCGATGTATATGTTCGGCGGAATTGATGGCGCATTACACCTCGCCGAGGAATCCCCGAATCCATCCGTCGGTGTTCCAAAGGCCATGCTATGGACTCTCATCATTGGCGTTGGGTCAACTTTCCCGTTCATAATTGCGATGCTGTACTGCATCAGCGATTTGACCGCCGTTCTCGAGACTCCCACAGGGTTAGTTCCCTCCAGCGTGTCTTACCAATGGGCTGCTAATGACTTCCAACGACAGACAACCAATCTACGAGCTATGGTATCAGGCAACAGGTTCCAAGGCTGCTGCAACCGTGTTTATGTTTATTTTACTCATCGGCGGATTCTTCGCCATGAATGGTTGCCAGCAGACGGCATCGCGTCTGACTTGGGCTTTTGCCAGAGACAACGGCCTTGTCTTTTCCAAACATCTTGGCCGGGTATCCAAGAGGTTACAGGTCCCTGTATGGGCAATCATCGTCAATGGTGTGGTCGTTTTCATCATGGGCTGTATCTACCTCGGATCAAGCACCGCATTCAACGCTCTGATTGGAACCGGTCTCGTCATTGGGCAATTCACCTACGCAATTCCAGCTGCGCTGCTGCTTTACCACAAGCGTTCTTCTGCCGTTCTGCCACCTGGACGATACTTCAAGCTCCCTGGTGTCTTTGGTTGGATCTGTAACATCTTGACCGTCACTTGGGCGGTGATAGTGCTCATCTTCTTCGACTTTCCAACTTCACTGCCTGTGACCGGATCGACAATGAGTATGAATCTCTTCGAATCGTCTTACTGTACCAGGCGCAGCTAATGTGGTGTTTGCAGATTATACTTGTGTGGTATTAGGGTGCATGGCATTCTTCGGACTGATCAACTGGTTCGTTCATGCAAAGCGCCACTACCACGGACCGCGGCTTGGGTCACACCTGCATTACAACGAAGAGCACACTGGGAACTCTATGGAGGAGCGTCACGAAGATTGAGGTCATTGCTGCGTTTCACACATGCTAAGAGCTAGGGTGTCAGACGACGGGGAAAGAAACATAGTTCACAGTGCGGGAAACTGCAGTGGTGTTGGTAACAATTTTATGTTGGAGGATTAGTATATACTAGAGATGTGCTGTATCTTCCTGTCTCGCTATTTATCATATATACCAAACTGCACTGTAGAGATACTGACTGGAGCAGATCGAGCTCCGGCTTAGACCTTATCAACTATTCGGGGCGAGCTTGTTGAAGCTCTTTCATTATAATGAGTTGATATCATGATAATTGCTTATCATCTATGAAAAGCGGTGCTTCTAGTGGGTCTAGAGACTGTTGGTCGATCCGGAGCGACCAACTACCGCGGTCTCCTGATTTAGGGTCCTTGTCCTAATCTACAGAGCTCCTCGTAAGGAAGCGTTGGTTCCCTTATATGCTTAGTGTGAAAACGATGGATGGCCTTGGTCGAATGTATAGTTCCATGACTCATCGGCGCGCCTAGATAAGAACTTTATTACTTTAGAAGCAGGGGTGCGACCTTTTAGTACATTTGTAATTCTTACCGCCTTGCATTGGACTTCCGACCTTGCAATCTACCTTTCCCCTCCTCGGGCCTCGCATAGAAGGCCTTCTTATTCAAAAACCTTACTTTGATAGTAGGTGTGACAAATACTCGGGTTGGTGGCACAAAGCATAGTATCATCGCGAGAAAGAGGCCTTATGCCAAGGTCAGGTTTACAATGTAAGTCCGGGGAAATCAACGTGAGGACCAACTTCAATGTCGTGTTCCGATCCTTGTAAAGCCGCTTACGTTGCCAAATTTACTTTAGCCGAGATATTGTCAGTGCGATAATACCATAGCCACCCAACTATGCATCCAACGCAGGAGAAGCTTATCGCCCGGGCCCGCGATTTTTTCGCAGAGGTGAAGAACCTGTAAGTGATACCTCCTACATAGCAATCTTGCCTAATGAAATGATTCAGGACACCGGGGAAAGAGCTTGAAGAAAGGTTGAATAAGTCCTGGGGACCGGGCACCCCAATCTATGAGGATCTCTGTGCCTACATCCGTGAAGGATTCGAGCAAAACCAGGGCTGGGTTGCGACAGATGAGCTGGATGGGGCAAGATACCGGCGAAGCATAATCTGTAAGCCGTGTCCTGAGAACCTATATTATAGCATCACGACGGTGTATATGGAGAGCGATGAAGTATTTGCAGGGCAATATCATCAACATCCCTATGGAGAGATCAACTGTGTTGTCCAGCTCGACCAGACTGCCGAACTCAAGGGTATGAATGGCTGGCAGGGTGCTGGATGGACGTCTCCGGGACCAGGCACGCATCATTATCCAGAAGTCCGCGGAGGTCGTCTGGTTGCCTTATTCTTTTTACCGGCGGGCCGGATTTCCTATGAAGCCACGCCTGACATGCCACAACCGATAGCAATTTGAGCGTGACCACATGATATAATTGATATGAGTTTGGATGAGTCCGCCGTCCAGCAGCGTCTTGGAGGTGATCAAATAAAAAGCAACCATCACCTTTGTTCATATACGTAGGTAATGAGCCATGGCGCTTGTCGTGCACTCGGCAATATGCCTTCTTGTCCATTCTGGAATAACATGGAGTATTGCGACAGCCACAATTTCGTGGAGAAGGGTCGAATGCTTTCCTACGTAGGCAGCAAGTTTGCTTGTTCCCAATGGCACACCATGTTGTTCATCAAATCACTGCGACCAGACTCTGTATTATGAAATCAATGTCCATGAAAATAACCAACTCCAAGTCTTGAATTCAAGTTATCACCCCCACAATACCTAAATCACGACCAAGGGTACCATTCACCTACTGACGACGGCCATAACCTCAATCTCATACAGAATCTCTTTCGTCACCAACCCTTCCACTCCAACCAACGTGTTTGGCGGCTTATGCCCTCCCATGAATTTCATGAACAACTCCCCTCTTGCCTTGGCATCTTCAGTCCCCATATGACCCCTCAACCCAACAATGTATTGCCGCACCTGGACAATATCCCTGCTCGTAGCTCCTGCAGCCTCAAGGCATTTCCCAAGATTTTTCAGCGCGAGCTCCACTTGCCCGGGGAAAGTAGGTGCAGTGTAGCCGGTGACGGGATCAGCGCCGACCAGGCCAGCGAAACTAATAAGCTTGCTGGTGCTGGTGAGAGGAGTCGTGCAGATCTGGTCGTACGAGGGACTATATGGGGCGACGTCCGATGGACTGAAGGTTTGAGACTGTGAGGACATTCCTAGGGATCGATTCAGAAGGTTCAAGACTTAGATAATATTATTATTTGTTGAAGGAGCTGTCGAACTGGCATAAAGAATAAAGGTCTTATCCTAATAACTTGTTGAGAACAACCCTCTTAAATAGGAAGAGAGTAGATAAATAAAATCCCCACAATCCCTAACTCACAGGTGTATATAGTAGGCGCATAGGAATCTTTCTCGCGGTTAGATAAGGCCAATAGCTGGACCCTAGAGAGGAGTCGTAGAAACATGGTCTCTATTGCAAACACGGTCCCACCATAAAGAGTTCTGCGCAGGTTCTCCACCTAATTAGAGTATGGCTTTATAAGTTGATAGGCAGCTAGCTATGCACCAATAATAACGCCATTTGGAAGCTCTAATCCAATAGGTAACCCTCTGATGAATTTCCCTGTAAAGGGTACACCTCTTCGCTCAGCAAGTGCCTCCTCAATATCCCTATACATATCATAACTATATTCGTTAGAACCATGTGAAGACAAGGGATGGGGGAGATCTCCGACGTACGCATTCATTTCCTCAATAGTCAAGACTTTCTTCTGATCTTCGACTTTGTAAGTGGGTATGTCTTTGTTGACCGAAAAGCCTGCGCCAATGTCAGACAGCATCTAACAAATTTCAAAAAAGAAGCTTACCGATTCGTTCGTTGATGTTGTAGGCTGCCTTTGCAGCGGCAGCCTGGACTCTGGTGGCTCTCGGTAGTCGGACCTGGTCGTAGACGGCGAGAGATTCTGCAATATCTCCATTGAAATACTTTTTGTTGAAGAGAATACCCAAAGCGGCGGCGTCCTCGATGGCCATACAGGCACCTTGGCTTTGATGTGGCATCATCTATATCTTTGTTAGGTTTGCCTGGTTCTGACAGCGTGATGGCAGGGACAACTTACAGGATGACCGGCGTCACCTAGCAAGCAGACCATGCTGCGGTGGATATAGGGATACGGTTGGCTGCAAAATCCAAGTCAGCATCTCCATCAGTGCGAATCAGGTGCGATGGACTGGAAGTCATGATGCCTTACTGTACCCACAGCCGCCAGGGCTGGATCTCTTTCCCAATCTTGAGGTGTGCCAATACTTGAGGGTCCAGTTCCGGGTATGGATTCAACAGCTCTTCAAGAGGACGATCTGCGCCGCCCCATGTGTGTGAGGTGTAGTCTCCCACTGTCCGGGGAAAGAAACAATAGTAAGAAAGCAGTTTGCCGCCGTTGCAGGGTGAGAGCACAATCTTGTCCCATTTGCCCTCTTGTCCGCCCCAGTACTCGAGTGCACTATCCGCAGAATAGTCGACAAGCCCAGCCTTGACGGCATCCTCGGTCAGAACATTGGCATGTAGACAGCTCTGGTCCGAGGCCTTCTTTTCCGGCCGAATGCCAATGATCGTGCGAACGACTGACCCAATACCGTCGGCGCCAATGATCAGGTCGTGCTGTGCAGAAGATCCGTTCACAAAAGTGATGACCCCAGTTTCTAGATCGATGCTCTGACACTAGGCGAGGTTAGATCCTTAGGATTGCTTGATCAACAGGTCTAAGACTTGCCTGATGGTTGACCAGAAGCTTGGCTGGAGTCCCCTCACCCTCCAGCTGTAAGGCTGTGTCCTTTAGCATTTGATGCATGTACTGTCGATGGAACATGTTGTAGACATGGCCCCAGCGCTGTTCATAGTCGTCCAGGTCGTAGACGCTCACCGGCTCACCGGTCCTCCAATCACGATTGATGAGCTTCTTCAGCACCACGGGATCGCCCTTGGCCACATCGACATCCCATTCATGCAGCCAGCGGGTGCCGTTGGCGGCGCACGAGACTGAAGCACCAACCTCACCAGCAAAGTCAGCTCTCTCGTAAATCGTCACATCGTGGCCGGCGCGACGGAGCGCAATTGCAGTAGACATGCCACCAATCCCGCCGCCCACCACACCGACGTTGAGCTTTCTCCAGCCTTGTGGTAGTGAACCCATTTTGTGCTTTGATACAATATGGTATGTTTGTGGGGAGAGAACTACTTTTTCATGTGATATAGTAGTTTCATGAGCTCAAAGAGTGATCGATTTGGAGTTGTAGTTCTTATCTTTGGCACTTACATTGCATTCCTGGCCCAATTCAACTCAACATATCAGCAAGTGCGGATAGCTGCCTGTCGGCCCAGGAGATGAGCCTGGAGCCGACAAGGCAGGTCCAGGTCAATTCATTCTGTCTGGACATGGGGAGAGGTCGAAGTCCTTCCGCCATCTGCTGCTGCGAGTTCGTTCATGTCGGGGCGGATACGGTGAGGGCACTACCCGCCCGCCTGCGGATACTGCACCCTTGCCATCGATAAGAGTGGCGCCGGACTTGTGCGTGGATTCGCCCTCGTCTGCACTCTAGTTTGGCCAGTGCGGTAACAGGAGATAACGACAATCTTCTGCCCCTCGACGCACGCTCGACAGAACTGATAAGACGGGTTGATATGTAACTACATGGCCTCGCCACATCCGATCCCGCCCAAAGGGTCTTCTTCCGCCAGGGCATCCCATCCGCGCCGACATGAATCTGTCTCTTCTCCAGTACCTGGCGTGAGATTGTTGCTAAACCCCAAGTTTGGTGGACGATACACTCTTGATCTACCTGCCCCGCCGTACTCAATCGTAGTCCATGCTCCCCGACTATGGCCAGGCGTAAAGTCGATCCCGCCAACCGCATGAGAGTGTCCGAAGCATGTGTGCAATGTCGGGTGTCCAAGAAGCGGTGTGATTCTTTGCAGCCATGTTCGAAGTGTACCCTTCGAGGTATACAGAATTCCTGCACCTTCACTAAATCTCTCTCCTCCGCTGGTCCCAAGCCGGCCACACCGCACAAACGTCCTCCTCGACCGCAGCAGCAGCAGCACCAACCAACAGAAGCACGATTGCAACCTTCATCGGGATCAAACCGCTCCTCAGGCCCGGCGCTTGAGCGGGACAATAATTCGACTTGCACCTCGTCTCCTGTGGACACTCAGGAAGACCCTCCAGGCGAAGCGCGACACCGGACCCAGCCACGTTTGCTGAACGACTCGCGAGGCGAGAGAGGTATGTGGAAGACTAAGCACCACCGATGCCAGATCATGCTGTTGACCCTTCTCAGTCTTTGTCGGTTCTTCAGCCTCGTTATCTTTTCTGCAGTTTATCAGAGATGTTGTCGCCGGCTCGATGGGCATCTCCGACTTCACCCACGACACCGAGAATACACGTATGTTCGAGGCGGCTCAGTCGGACCCGGACCGAGTGACAAACTCCAAAATTCACATTGATGCTTCAACCAAGCTGCAATACGGCCAAAACTTTTGCCTGGTGGTAAGTACAGATAGGAAAGATATCCCAGCTTTCAACGGGCACTGACTGTTGGGACAGACAAAAGGACTTCTGGGGTTTATCACCACCCAGGATCTGCCGCATGTACTTGACTTGGATACCACAGTCTCATCCCAACAGGACACACAGAAGGCTGCGATTGCCAACTTGGTTCTGGCCATCGGAGCGCAATGTGCTCCAGCAAGCCTGGAGCAGACTAGAATCGAGAAGGATTGCCTGGCTTCCGCCCAAGCTGCAGCATACGCGGGCATGTTGGAGTCCCCCAGCCTGGGCGCAATCAAAGTGTTCTTGCTCCTGGGCTTCTATATGTTCGGAGCGTGTCGGCGGAATGCCGGTTTCATGTATCTTGGTGTCGCGGCAAGGGCGGCATATGCGCTCGGACTACACAGCGACGAATGTTGCAGTGCACTTCCCGATCCCACCAAGGAACAACAGTAAGTGCGATGCCGTTTTACCTGAGTGACGTGTGGCTAAACTCCTCGAAGACATCTGGTTTGGATGAGCCTGGTGACCATGGACCATATTGTCAGCTCCATCCTGGGCCGAGCCACAGCCTCACTATTGCACCACAACGATTATAACCCTAAACAAAGTATCGTCACCATGACAGAAGCCCTCGGTGCCTCACAGCAAGCACTGTGTGCTAATTATCAATTATCGGAATTGGTGAACGGGATCATCTATACCTTGTACAAAAACCCCTCTGTCACCACCCAGGCCGCCGATGAATACCTAGAGAAATTGGACAACTGGAGCAACGCCCTTCCCAGCAGTCTTCACCTTAACGAAGCGCCGCTGTCGACGGATCATCTTGCATGGGAACGTGTCTGTGACAGTTTGCACGTGAGCTGCTATTACCATTTTGCCGTGATCCTCGTCTGTCGTCCGTTTCTCATTTCCCAGCTTTTGAACCGCCTACTGGGCAATAAGCGCTCTGCGGGATACTATCCGTCCCGCAGCTCGCCACTCGAAAATGACCAAGATGAAGCCAGCTTGGCCAAGAAATGCGTCACGGCTGCCACATACATGGCACAAACGTGCAGCGAAGTTCTTGAGTCTGGCTTTTTGCTTGAAAGCGGCCCCATCCTCAAGTGAGTTGGAGTTTTCACACAATGTCGTACGGTGCTGATCTGTTTCCAGGGCGTGGATATTTGTGGCTGGATTGGTATTGGGACTAGAGATGTTTGCATTAGACACGCCTAATGCAGATGTCGAAGCAGCGTTCCGAGCCAGTCGTAGTGTGTTACAGAGACTTGGAACGCGGTCTGCTCAAGCGAAGCACTACTATGACATTCTCGGCTATCTCGGATCTGTCGTGATCAAAAAGAGAGAAGAACAAGCCTCACAGTCCGGGGCACAGAGCGGAAGACGTGTTGCAAAGATGCTCAATTTTGGCAGCAAAAGATCCTCGCCCGTCGTATCCATTGGTCAAGATGATTTTGCTGTTGATCCCATGTTTGACTTTGGCGACATGGGACCTGGCTTCGGCAACATCAACAATTTGTTGTTTAGTATGCAGGATGACTTGGCGACTTACGATGATATTCTCCTTGAGTGGAATCAAACAAGCTCGCAGTTCTGACCGCATGTATGGACAGCAGCGACTTTCTCTGCTTTCGAGATAAATCGTGGATACGTGAACACGCAAGCAATAGCTGCCAGCCGCATCTAATGGATGCAAGCTGTCGTCCTGCTAATTTGAGGGCTTTGCACTGTCACTGCTGCAACCAATAAATCATCCTAAAGTCTAATACGCGATTCCTCCACCATCTCAATCACAAGCTGGCTTTGTTTCGAGTCTCAAATGGTAACACAAAACTGAGCAAGCCCGCCGCCATCCAGAGACTGGCACCAAGAAATAGAGGCACATTTGTAAACCCACTATAAGTCGTAATCAGCGTGCCTGCCAGACCACAGACTCTATTGAAGCTTGCCGCAAGGCCAACCGCAGTTCCCCTGTGAAAAGTTGGGAAAACCTCAGGAGTGTAGTAGTACAAGGCGCCCCACATGCTAAATCAACATCAGTCACCTATCAAAAAAAGGAGAAAGGGTCAGCCATCTTACATGTACTGCGTAAAGGAAATAATGCAGTTGAATGCGAGGATCGTTCCTTGGGTCCGAGCAGTGGTGAAGGCGAACAGGAAAGCACCCGTCAACAACAAGGAGAAGCCTAACGTTCCTTTCCGGCCAATTCGCTTCATGCCAATGAGATAGCCGCCCAGCAGAGTTCCGGGGATACTGCACACGATGGTGACGAGTAGGTTGCGATAGGTCGTTCCAGTACTTGAGTCACCTGACTCGGCCCCGTGGATCTGGAGATATATCGGAAGGAGGCTGTTGTAGATTGGATTGGCCATTCCGATCATTCCCCAAAGCAACATGACGAGGGCAAAGCTGAGGGCGAGTTTCTTCGTACTCCAAAGGACACGGATATTGTTCCAGCCGCGTGGACCTAGATGCGCCACAGCTCGCTTGAAGTGCTCCCGACGGTGGTCAGTGGACTCTGCGTTTTGTTCGGCGGCCCTCAGGTGTTCGACGGTCAGGGACTGCGTAACACCGTTGTACTTGGCCACCTTGTTGAGAACGTCAATGGCTTCTTCATACTTGCCCAAACTGACCAAATACTTGGGAGACTCGTAGAGCCTGAACACAAAGAACCGGACGCAGAAACCGATCATCGTCAGCCCGCCCATGAGGATGAACAGATATCTCCATCCCATGTTGTCTGCCTTCCGACACTCTCCAGCGGGAGTGTCCGAGCTGCAAGAGTAGTGGGACAACAACCCCCAAGAAGCGAATGCAGCGATAAATTGTCCGGCTGCCCACCACACTGTCAAAATCTCGAGCAGGTATTGGTGGGTGCCGGGCAGAAATTCAAGGAATACTGTGCCGTCAACGGGAACTGGACACCGGGTCAGCTTTGTGATAGCGAAGACAAGAGAAGAACTGTATCTCAGGCCCGCACTTACGATTACCACCGATCCCGAAGCCGGAGAGTGCAATGAGGGAGCAGCACGTCACCCAGCTGTTGGAGCCTGCTGCGACAAGCCCAAAGACACACGCGAACAGGAGTGACAGATTCCACGCCCAGCGCCTTCCAATCAGGTCACAGCCCAGGCCCCAAAAAGAAGCCCCCAGAATCAGCCCAACCATCAGTGCGACAATCAGGAAGCCGGACCTCCTGGGCTGGAACTCGTTGGCGATTTCAGGAAGCGCATTTGACACAGAGGACTCCCAAAGCTGCGCCACCCTTGGTTAGACATGAAGGCCTAGAGGGGAGGAGACTAACCTGGTCACAGAGCCAACCATAGCCTGCCAGGCCGAAGAGGGTCCATTGATATTTTCCCATTCCGATGTCTTCGATAGCCTGATTGATCATAGTGGCCTGGGCCTGGAAGACAGCATCGTGACCCGCAGTTTGGCCAAGCGATTCGAGAGCTTTCCCGTGAGGCTCAAGCTCGCCGAGTTTGTTCGAGGTTACGCGCTCTAGACTGTTTTGAGCCATGATGGCCGGTTCTTTTTTGATGTCTCCTCCTTCCATGGCTTCTAGAAAGGGCTCGTCCCTTTTCTGGTAGGGTTGAGTGGCGGTGGTAAGAGATGGTGATAAGGCAATCAAGTGCTGGCCCTTGCTGACTTTGGCGGGCAAGAGATGAGGGCACAGGGCAGTCTTAAATATCCCATGTTCGGACGGCAGCAACTTGATAAGGCCCGGATGAGGGTGTGTTGTACTGATCTTGTCGTAAAGCCTTCGAAATGGTCGAGACGGCTCTTTCCCGAGGACTTGTATGGTTATACCTGACACCAGCTCGACAACTAGGTGCACTAGACCCGAAAACGAACAAACTTTCCCCCACGAGAGACAAGATACGCTTTCAGCAACGATGAAGCGAAGTCTTATCAGCGTCGGGACGTGTATATAATCGATTTGTCGTAGTGTAAAAGCTTAGGCTAGGCCCAAGTAAGACCTTCGCCCCTGAGTCCACATCTCCTGTCGCTGCGGGCGGATCTCATCGCACTTTCTGGATATCCCGAGAGCCGCCCGTCGCCTGTCCCAGGATGTTATCACAACCGAGTAGTGGCCTGGATCTCGGCGCGATTGACGAAGCCCCTGGAGAGGGCAGCAGTTTGGTCTCATCCTAGTCAACAAACATCAACATAAGAGAACTTGTTGAACGCGATCATATTCTACTCTTGAAGCCACGAAAATTCTACAGACAGTTCCTAAGACACCAACGCTAGAGCCTCCACACTAATCCAGCATCAATAACAAGAATGATCTCGCCAATTGACTTTCTCGACGCCCAGCCTGGGAAGTCCGGGTTCGATGAGGCCAAACACTTGCGCTTTCGCCAACCAGAGAAGGATACACCATGAAGGAGTTGGGGCTCAACCCACCGACAGCAACGTCGCCCATCGCCATCACGGAGCCATTCCTTCTCTTCACGGTCGAGGGTGTCAAAGAATTACGCAGAGATCTTTCGTCCAGAGATCGTTCGGAAGCACGGATGAAGGCAGAAGCCGGGAATCTTTATCGTCCGCGGGAATGGTGAAGACACCCCCTTCGTGCGTGACGCGTGGCGCAGTGAAGCACTACTGAACGCGGTATCCCAGGCGGCTGGGGTCGAGCTCGTCCCTGTCTTTGACTACGACATTGCCCACACCAATGTCCAAGTCGACGCCGAGAAGGCCAAGAATGAAGACATCTATCAGGACCTTCCCGACGCCGAGCCCCCCAAACAGCCGACGGACCCGTCTTTGATCGACCAGAAGTTACCGACGGGAGATATCAATGACAAGAATGCCGTGGTGGGAGACTGGCACAATGATGTCTTTCCCTGGGTTTGCGTCCTGATGTTGTCTGACCCTACCGGGATGAGTGGGGGAGAAACCGCCTTGCGCAAGGGAGACGGCAGCTTTTTGAAGGTTCGAGGTCCCGAACTGGGATATGCAGTCGTGATGCAGGGAGGGTCCATCCATCACGCAGCCTTGAAACAACACGGGGCAGGCGAGCGAATTACCATGGTCACCTCACTCCGACCTAAAGACCCCCTCGCCATCGATGGGACGACACTAGGCCGAGTCAAGATTGTGAGTGACCCAGATGCTCTTTTCAAGCAGTGGACCACGTATCGGATGGACGTGGTGTCGGCTCGCGCTTTGGCTCTCAAGAAGAAGTTCGTAGAGGAATCGCTTAGCGGAGAGGAGATCAGGGAAGAGATGAAAAAGTGGGTAGATGAGCAAAAGAAATACCTGGATTTTACAGTGACGGAAATGGAGCCCTGGACTGGAGAGGATGAGTCAGACGCAAATCGTTGGCGAAAGTAGGACAGAGGTGATTGAATATCTGATGTTTAGACCTATAGACTCGTAGTAAGTCATGAACACCTCATAATGCCTTGTTATGTGCAGGCCTTTGCTGAAGAAGTCCTAGGAATGAGAGTATAGGTAGCCCGGTCGAATATATCCCAATGTCTTCACTTCTGACTCCGAGTTAGTTCTTGGTATGACACTGCGCTTGCTTATGGAAATAGGTCCCGTAGCAGCTCCTCACTAGAGGCAAAATCAACGTGGCCTTCAAACCACGTAGACAGGATCCTGCTATCTTCAAACCCGATTCCGTTATGATAGAGCCCAAGCCCACCGCTGGTACGCCCGTGGCCTGTCTCGTACTGCAGGCTGGTATCTGGAATCGTGACTTTCCGGTAGAGTTCCTGAATGATCTCTTTGCTTCTCTGTGCGCCAGACCAGATAGGTTCAAGGTTCCCCAGGATCCGAATACATGCCTCGATGTCGGTGATAAATTCGAACTGCGGAGCCCTCGATAGCCGCAATCTACACAGCACATTCTGTCAGCGGCAAAGTAAAGGGTCAGGAAGGGACGGGGGTGACAAGCCGCTCACTCACAAGATGATCCCGGACAGAGCCAGATGATGGATGCAAAAGGCTAGATAATGGGACGGCGAGACATTGTCGCGGACCATTTCTGCAACTCGAATGCAATTTTGAGCCGCCGTGACACAACGCAGCCGTGAAGATTCGAAAAAGGATTCGTCTCCCGCCTGTTTGATGTTGATGAGGGGCCTAACTCGGAAGTTTAACGTTAACATCTTGATGGCCAAGGTCTGCCAAAAAAGCCTTCCAAGATTCTTACCAGTGGAGAGTCATCAAAGCCCCTGAGTGCAGGATGGATGCAACCACGCACAAGGTCAGGTCGATTCCGCCGTTAGTATGGTGCACAGAGTATTGGATGGTGTCAGCTACTATCCGGACCCACGACGGCCAACTTCGCCCTGGCGTTTGCATGTAAGAATGGATCCTCAAGATTCTACTCTGGTTGGGAATCCAGTGATGGAATTGGACCCAATTCACCAGATTGCCGACTTCTCCGATCATCTGGCAAAGCCTGCAGATGATGAGAAATCCCGCCATTGATGAAGATGCCTCGGATGCTTGGCTCGGTGATGTGGTGGAAAGGAATTCGACTAGATCTTCGTCATTGACACTGAGCGGCAGGGCACAACTGCAGTCTCTGTCGTTAAGAGCCATAGGGCGCCCGAGGCACATGGACAGCACCCTTAAGGGCGTCAGCTGCAACAATGGTGGAGAGCTCGATATCGAGTGGAGGCCTTAGCGATCGAGCACATAGACACTCCACCAGATGCGGTGGTTCACTTCTTCTTCGACGTCTTTTGCCCTGCCGCCTGGTGTTCCTTGCTGAAACAGGCATCAGTCAACTCGGAAAGACGGAATTTCGTGCGATGCGAAGCTTACATGAAAGCCAAGCTCTTGAGCAGCTCTCACAGCCTGCCCTGCCAACGTCCAGGCATGAGACAGAGTGTTCCAGCCAGAGACACAAAAAGAGAGAAGTGCAAGGCACTGAACCTGTTCTATACAAGCCTCCCCCGCCAATGAAAGCTGCAGCAGCGTGGCTTTCTCATAGTGGTCGATGCCTGGGAATGAGGCTGTCGGGGAGCGCTCTTTGAGCAGCAGACCCGATGCGCATGCGCATACCGCATGGAACACGGCCAGAAAGCCCACATTATCTCTCTGCTGCTGTCGGCCAACGACAAGATCCTTGTACTGGGCCAAGAAGTTATTCTTGTTCAGCACTGGTAACGTATAGTGGATCTGGTCAAAGTAGATGCGTAGCAGCAAATCCGACATGTAGGTGGGAGGTAAGCTCAACTGCTCTGGCTTAGGGAGGAACGGTAGAGAAGCCCACTTCCGACCCGTGATGAAAAACGGGTGCCCGGTCACCCCTCTGCGAGTGGAAGTGGAAGATGGAAAAGCACCGATATGGCTGCCCTCTTGGGTGACTGAACCTTGCAGAATTTCCATCATAGCCATATTCGAGACTCCCCAGACAAATCTGCTCACGGGACGCGAATCAGTCGGATGATCGTGTCAGTCTGTGCAGGCCATGAACCCACCTGAGCCGTCCGTAGGAGTCCACCGCCAATCGACCAGCGGCCGAGGTTTCAGCTGGCCGGTCGGCACCTTCTTCAGGACTGAGGACGGCATCGTCGTCCTCCTTATCCTCCTGGCCATTCTGCAACATCGTATTCTGGAGGGACCCATCATTTTCTGGGGCGGAAGGAGAACTTGCGACGGCGGGCTGCGCCAAACCCCCGTACAAAGTCTGTCCAAACGTATCAATTGCAGCAGCATCAACGCCCGAGAATTGCGGGCCAGATCGGTCTCTTATCATCTGCTCCAGCGTAGTCATGGTTTCATTGAATCTTCCCACGAGCGCGTCCAGCTGTTGGCACATTTGCGTCATCTGGTGGGTTTGAGATTCCAGAATGCTCTCCTGCCTGGTGATTGAAGAATCTGTGAGAAAACAAAAAGGCTCTTTGGTTTGGGAATTTGGAACCAAGGAGGCCTTACTGCCGATTTGTGACGGCATTGTCCTGGGGTTCAGGGTAAATGCAAGACTTATTGTGTATACGACATGATCGGCAGACCTCGTGGCCGTCACATTTTCGCTGGCCATGAGTTTGGTTAGATTGTACTCGGTCAGATTGAGATGAGTTGGGTGTGCTACCTTTTTCTTGCGACACTCTAAGCATGCCTTCCACACACGGTTCGCCTTGGGCTTTACAGGCGATCTGATTGACAGCTGCCCACGCCCATCAATCAAGCTTGGTGATGGCGGCGACATTTCTCTCTGAAGCGCCTCATAGAACCGGGTAGAGTGAGTATGCGAACGAGACGAAAAGGTGTGAGGAATATCTCATTGTCATCAGAACAGGAATAGGGAGGGAGATGGCCAGGTCGTCTCTGCTTATCAGTACGCTTTCCGACGATGGTGTAGGCGGCCAATCTGATGAAGAGGACGCTCCTCTTTGGGTTCCACATTTGAATGTTGGTTAATTCTTATCATTAATTCTTATCTTGCGGTGACTAAACAATGACAGAAATTCTTCCACTTCCACCTCCACCATAATACTTATATTGCTGTTTCTGGATCTCACCAGTTACTCGAAATTTGCCGTGCCGATGTCTTCAGCGAAATAGGTGCGGAAATTCACTCCCTGGCCTAGTCTACCAATCTCCTCTGCTTCGCTTCTTGTTAATTCCCAATCCGCATCGCGCTCTACCGCAAGGTCCAGAATCCGCTTCAACCTCTCCTCCGTTCGACTCGTCGTAATGACCACTGCTTCCTGCTTCAAGGCCCATGCCAACAGAACTTGACCTTGGTCTTCCTCCCCCAGGTGGTATTTCGCCGCCAGAGTCTTGATGTAAGATTCGAAGACACTGCTCTTCCCCTTCGCCGTGGTGATTGGAGTTATCGTAGCAAAGGCGGCCAAGCCGATCCCTTTCTCGCGCATAAAACGTCGAAGTCCAGTTCGAGGAAGGTACGGATGCATTTCGATCTGATTGACTGCTGGCTTTATCGTCGCTACCGAGAGCACTGTCCGCAGGTGATGACATAGGAAGTTTGAGACGCCAATGTTTCGCACGAGGCCTTTCTTGTGCAGCAGTTCCATCTGTTTCCAGGCTCCTTGGAGCTGGTCTGGAGTGTTGTAAACAAAGGGACTGTGTATCAGATATCTTTCCGGGATAACGGTTAGTAAAGGCAGACTGGTGTATCCAATTTCACATACAGGTCGACATAATCTAGCTGCAACCTTTGCAGGCTAGCTTCCAGTGCTGCAGGAATGTCGGCTGGGTTGGCTGTTACGCACTTAGTCGTCACGAATAGAGACGAGCGAGCGACGGCAGACTCCCCAATCGCAGCCCCGAGTTCGCTCTCTGTGTTGTACACTAGATCTAATAAGCAAGCAAGTTCATGAAGCTGGGGAAGATTGCTCACTCTCAGCGGTATCAAAATGACGGTATCCGAGGCTGATGGCCTTCTTGAAGGTTTCTACCCCTGCACGATCGATACCCGTCGCAGAATCTTTAAACCAGGTGGTGCCGGTCCCGTAACCAATCTTTGACGCAAGGGCCAGTACAATTAGGATAGGTAATGTGCGAAAGGAGTCAATGATATATACCACAGGGATCGTTGATCCACTTCCTCCGATACTGAGACACCTCATGATGCCGTGCAAGGTCACTCACTGACATGCAGGAGATAATCAGGAACAGGTCTGTCAATGTGCTGGAATTCGACATGTATAAATTATCGCTAGATCTAGACAGTGATAAGAGGTGGGCACGAAATGCGGAATATAGTAATGTATCTAATGCGGAAGGGGTCTGTCGGATCTTTCCATCACCCGCTTTAACCGCCTTACCAGGAATCATCCGCCCGATAATCGAATGCTACAATACCACACTACAGTAATGAGTACAACTTGCATGTGTCAAACTTAGGCATTCCCAGCCTTGCCCTTTGATAGAGAACATGGAACAATTCAACCTTTGACAGCATGAGACTGCAAGGGAGCCATTGTCAGGCATAGTCATGGATGCGACTAGTTGTGCTCCTTATCCTTGACCAATTTGGCCAGCTTTCCCATCTCGCTTGACATCCAACTCGTGATGGCGACAATGTCTGCTCCGCAGTTTACAAAGTCAAAGCCTTGGTTTATCCTGAAAGCCGCTGCGAACAACTATTAGGTTAAAAGTGCAGACCAGACGTGCTAGACCAGAGTTCCACCTACCTGATTCTGCGAAGTGTCCGACGAATTTTCCCGCCTTCTTACCCACTGCCAACACTCTGGCTGTAGCTTCCTGAACCTCGTCGTGCTTGCCATGGTCCAAGGGGAAGAATCCCATTGACGCGGCCAGGTCATTAGGGCCCACGAAGAGGCCGTCAATTCCCTCGACAGCTGCTATTTCTTCAACGTTTTCTACCGCCTTTTTCGTTTCAATCTGAACAATCACAGTAATGTTTTCATTGGCGTGCTGAATATATGCTCTCCCGTCCTGCTGGAAATACGCGGGAGCAAACATGGCTCCGGCCCCTCGAAACCCTTCCCCGCCGTTCTGCGCATTCGGATATCGACAAGCATTTGCAATCATCTCGGCCTGCTCGCGCGTTTCGCACATGGGAATCAGAAGTCCGTGGGCGCCACAGTCCAGGGCACGTTTGAATAACCATGGCTCGCTGGCTGGCACTCGGACGATGGGCGACGCACCTGCCGAGGCAATCGCCGCAACAGCGAGATACATGTCGGCATCTGCGATGTTGCCATGCTCGCAGTCAATGAGCACCCACTAGATAGAATGATGGTAAGATTAGCTCCAAGGTACATATCACGGCACTGATAAATAAAAAGGCGTTCTTACATCCTCACCAAGCGCTGCAATTGTCCTTGATAGAGAAAATCCGGGGAATTCCATCCACTGCCCAATGCACGGTCTACCTCCTGCGGCTGCCCGTTCAAGGGCAGCGCGCAGACGTGTCTTCCCTGATGTCGAGACGATTGACATATTGAAAAAGGTTCGAGGGGGAAAGTTTACTAGCGAGGGCGCTGAAGCTTTGCGGTCTGATTCCGTATCTTAGAGACCTCGAACTCGAACTCGGACAGAGGCATCACTGGCGAAGTGGGGATGTAGGGTATTCTATTCAGCATTTCATGGTAAGTTGATTTCTACAAACTCCTCGAGACCTATGGTTCTTGGCCTCTCGATAGGAAAAGTCCCATACGTGTTGAGGTGAGTGGATCTTTAGGCGGCCGGAGCTCATCCGAATTCTTATCTCTCTTATCCCAAGTCGACCAGAGTCGACATCTCAGGATCTGAACTTGATCCGGCCTATCTAATGATGTTTGTCGATAAAACAAGATGATGAAAATATCCGAGTCCAGTAGAGATTGTGCATTCAGCTTTGAAGGATCAGTATCCGCGAAGCAATTGTTCGACTAAACTCCTCGCTGGTTCCGTCTTTGGAAGAATATGAAGGACGGTGAACCGCTTGTCGTCCACATGCATCCCAAATGGCAGCTCCGTTCCCACTCCTTTGAAATATACAAGTCGATACCAATGGTGATGATACTTGATGGGTCGGGCGAGGCTCAATGACAGAAAGTTCCCACCGCCATACTCGGTCATGCTGTCGATGAACCGTAGTCTGTCTTTCGTGGCCGTTTCCTTCGCAGCACTGGAGAAGATCTGAAACTGAGAAGCTGGATCCACGACGGCGAGGCGTTTCACCACAGTTCCCAGCAGCTCCAATTCGATCGGGCCACCAGTAGGGTGAGCGTTAGGATGGCCGGGAGCGTCCAAGTAATGGCCGCTCCACAGATCTGCAGGTGGACCAGAACCATGTTTGGAATTGGCATCCAGCTCTGGGATTGTTGCTAACTGGATACTAACCCCAGGCAAACTGTATTGTCTGCTCCGAGCTGCTGTTTTCGGTTGACAGGGAACAGGGGAAGCTGGTATGCTTTTACGCTGGACAAGGCACCATGATGAGGTGACCATACAATATTATCGGTATAACTTAGTATGATCAACTTTAGAAAGCCGCTTGCGGGACATGTCATGCATGACCTACAGCTCCTCCATGCAGCATCCTTCGACAAGACTCTCTGTCTCTGAATATCGGCCAGGCCAGGTTACGATTGCAACAGCGTCAGCGAGATCAAGATCAAAGATCCTAAGCGAGCCAGCCTGACCTAACGCAAGTCTTTGACCGAGGTCTGACACTCGGGTCGGGTTTTGTTCTCCGGCTCCCCCTCCCCGATAACGCCATCTGTATTGCTCGTCACACAACCGACTTCAGCACCTACTGTACCTACTGTACATACATTAATCTTTTGTTCAAGAGGACAGCAACACCCTTTTCCTCTCCCCACCCGTCCATCAAGCTCGTTACGAAAAAAAGGAAAGAGAAAAAAAAAATGGCCATCTACGTCACATTGGATCACTCAAAGTCCATCCAGGGTCTGGCGCCTTGGGTGCAAGCGCCCCCTCTCAAGGAGACTTACCTCCCAGCGCCGGGGAAGCACACTGCGACGGTGATTCTCCTTCACGGATTTGCCAACAGCGGAGCTGCCTGGGAGCCAATTGCGAGGCATTTGCAGTAGGTCAAGCTTTGTTTTTATTGCTGTTGCCTCCTTCCCTTTCTTTTCTTGGTCCCGAATGCCTGAGGCGCCCGACTGACGTTCGACCTTGCCCGTCCGAAGAGCCTCCTTGCCTCACATCAAATTCATCCTACCAAACGCCCCCATCACCCGTGTTTCAGTTCCTGTCGGAGGAGCTCCAGGCGAAGCCGAACTCCCGGCCTGGTGGGATCCCCGGCTCAACGACGGACTCCCAGCGGAATGGCCTGGGAAGACGCCATCCGGAGACGCCACCGGTCTCAAAAAGGCCATCGCAACCGTCGAGAAGATCATCGACGAAGAGGCCAAACTGGTGGCGCCGGGCAGGGTTTTCTTGGGAGGTTTCTCGCAAGGGACCATCTTGAGTTTGGCGGTCGGGTTGGAGAATGACAAAGTCGGTGGCATCATCGGTAACGTGTTCCCTTTGTTTCAATCTTGAAGACATTGAAATCAACGTGACATGCTGACATGACATGATTTCGACAGCATTATCGTCTTCTCTATCTGTCCCCGACTCATTCAAGTCTCCGGGAGTATTCGATCCTTCTACACTGAAGAAGGCGATCTTTTGGGCCCACGGCCTAGCCGACTATGTTCCTCTTGATTGTAAGTTTTTTCCATCTCCTGTCTCCCACTGTGATGATAGCCCTAAATGTTTTGCTTACCACTCGAGCATAGGGGCCACTGGCTCTGTTGACTACCTTGTCAACACTGTAGGATTCAAGAAGATTTCAAAGAGTGATACTCCGACCAGCGGGACTTTGACATGGACCACGTATGAAGGATTAAAACATGAGACGAATGAGGAAGAACTAGAGGATATCCAGAAATGGTGAGCTTGACCGATGTTCTGAGTGGCGACTTTTAAAACTAACCTCCTTGTCTCGGGAATAGGCTGTCAGCGGTGTTGCCTTAACGCTATTTGTCCATTCTCATGTAACCAGATTGTTAAGGAAACTCCGAACCCTTTTCTTCCCATGCTATGGATACATTAGATCACGAGAAGAATAGTTCACATCGCGAACCAGATGGGTCTTGATCTCTTACAAAACCAACGACCGAAATGCCATTCCTCGGGTTTAGTCTTGCCATACATATCACGGCCCGGTAGGGTCGTGGGTGAGTATGTCTTTGGCTATATCTACTCCCCGTTGAACTTCGGCCTGTAGGTCCAGATCCCAGATCCACTTCATCCTGATGTCCAGGTTAGCCTTCATCTTGGCCAGATCGCTTCCGATACCCGGCAAGACGAACTCGACCATCTCGCCCATCTCCCTGCTTGTCCTGCACAGTTCCTGGGTGCGAGGACGGCGCACCGCATCGTAAGCACGGAAGCAGGCTTCGATCTTTGTAGTGGTGGTGGCAGTAGCCTCGGACTTGTGTCCTCCGCAACCGTTCTCGAGCATCTTCCCCAGGATGCCACTTAGGACAAGTGCATCCTCGAAGGCCATCCCGGCGCCTTGACCTTGGTGCGGTGTAGAGGCATGTGCAGAGTCACCCAGGATGACCACTCTGCCTTTGACATAGGTCGGTGCGGGCAAATGGTCATACAGAGCCCATCGTTCTGGCCGTCGGATCTGGGAAAGCAGGGTGCGGATCGGCTCGCCCCAATCTGAGAAATCAGCCACAGCCGTGTCCGGATCCACGGGCTGCACCCAGTTCGAGTCGTTTTCGTCGGGGGGCACGAAAGCCTTAGCCTTGTCGGTGCTGGTGACAGGTTCCCCGGCCCCAATCCCAATGTGGTCAGAGTCATGCACTCGCTTGACGGCCACCATGTTCACAAACTGGCCCTTTTCCACCGGGTACATGACCACATATCCGTGATCTCCACAGAAGAGAGTCCCTTTACCTGGACTGATGCTACCTTTGGTCAGGTCGATAAATTGGTCTCGAGTGTACATGCCTCGATAGGCATACTCCTGGGTGAACTGAGGCCGGCCCGCCGGCTGATGAGAATCGGCATCGTCGCCCAGGATATATGACTTGCGGACCCCCGATTTGATCCCATCACACGCAATGACGGCCGATGCAGTGGCAGTGGTGCCGTCTGCGAAACGAAGAGCCAGAGGTTCCTCTTGGTCTTTGGCGGTTTCGATTGACTGGAGTGTTTTACCAAACTGCGTGGTTGATGGCGGTATCAACTTGATCAGCTCGTCCAGGAACTTGGCTCGATGGAAACACGCCCGCCCTGGCTTGGTGCAGCCGGTATGTGTGACCGTGGTGATCAGGTCATGGAAACTAGGTAGGTAGCCATTACGTTAACAGTCGCTCGTTAACAGTCGATCCTCTCACCTGGTCAACGTTCAATCTCAAGTCAAGGGCCATCATCGTCCCTCGGGTTCATGGGCAGGCAAGTGACTTACCCGTCCGCCATCCCAACTCGGATATCCAACCACTCATTTCGTCCTTCCCCGATCCCATTGCCATGTTCATCGGTCCCCACGCCTTCGTTATACGTCACACACTTGTTGAATCCGACAGTGATGGCCGGGTCTATCAGCTCCAGTGCCCTGACACTGTTTGGTCCCAGGGCGATTCCAGCTCCGATCTCTGAAAATGCGAGGGCCGATTCATATATCTTGTGGGTGATGTTGTGCCGGGATAGACCGATGGAAAGAGTCAAGCCAGCCAGACCACCTCCTACGATGGCTATAAGAGGTGCCACGTTGGGCTGAGACTGTGCCGAACTCATATTTCGTTCGCAACGAGAGGTCCAGATCAGATGGCGAGGTCCTAGTCTAAATCCACTTGTCAAGTCCTTGCTCGCATAACTCCAGCCGAAATGGCAAATGTCCCCTTCAGGTCGGCGGGGGGTTAAAACAATATCAACAAAGCTGGGAGATTGTTACAGTATGCGTTGACTAAAATTTAAGATCTCTCGTGATTAGTGGTAACTTCCGCCCGGGAATGTTTGCTAACCACGCTGTACACCGGCTGAACAAACCCTCACCCTATGAGATGAAAGGATCTGGTGTGCCTAGTAACAGCTATCCGCCCCCTCGTTGACTCCCCGCACAGCCGCGGCGGACTGTGCTGGAGCCATCTACAGCTGGCGGATCATAAGACGGCCGCCTTTTCTGGGTGCATGCCACATGGAGCTGAGCAGGCGGCAAAGGCCCCTGAAGCCCTAGAGCCGTCCCCAGACGACTCCCCTATCCCCACTAGTTACTGCTTATCATTGGGATTGGGCTTGGGGGCTGGCACTTGTTGATGGCTGTGGCTCGTTCTTATCTATGGACTCGGGCGAGCTCGTATCAGAAGTGCTAGGCATTGGGTGTAATCTACTGTAATCTACTTAGGTAGCCTAAACCCTTGAACTACAGTACAGTGCATAGGCCTAAGCCCGATGACCCTGGACCTTGTCGGCGTCGGCTAATGCTCACAGATTTCACGATTCCAACCCCGCCATCGCTACTTACCTTACTGTGATACCAATCCTAAGCCACCAAGGCTCCTAAGCCCAAGCAGTCGCCGCCAGAAGGGTTTGCTTCCTACTAGTGTAGTAAGAAGTCCCCCAGGTTGATCTCGACCATTCGTCGTGGTTGGAGGGGTACTGTGTATTGTACGGACACTACAGTGTATATCTTGAGTCCAACCTCCATCTTCCGCTAAGCCCTCAGCTCCTCTCACGCCCACGACAGACATCACCATGTTCGCTTTTCTTCGAGCACCGCTTCCTCCGCGCACCAACAATGCGGCCAACAATCCCATCATCTACGAGAAGGGTCTCTCATCCGTCAAGTTCCACGCGCCGGAGTCCAAGTATGTCATGACACACCAGATCCCTCCGACCGGGGGCGAGAATGGAGATTCGGTCATCACGCCTCCGTTCCACTACCACATCTACCAAGACGAGTACTTCTACCTGCAAAAGGGCACGGCCATCATCTTCCGCGGCCTCGACCCCAACCCGTTCGCGACGCTGTCGGAAGACGGCCAGCGAACGGCCACCATCCCGGCCGGCAGATATCATCGGTTCGAGAACGCGTCCAAGACGGACGACCTGGTCATCGACATCCACCTGACGCCCGAGTCGTACGAGAACGAGCAGCGCTTCTTCCGCAACTTCTTTGGCTATCTGGACGACTGCAAATCCGCCAAAACCGCCCCGAGCTTCTTCCAGCTCATGGTCTTCTTGCACAGCGCCGACACGCCGTTGGCTCTGCCGTTGCCGACTGAATGGATCGGCCGCATCGCCAGCCGTATCTTGCTATTTACCGCTGCGTCGTGGGGTAGTTGGATCCTGGGCTACAAGCAGAGCTACCCCGAATACTACGAACCGAGCAAATCAAAGTAGTAGTAACTGCAAGTTTTATATCTAGTCCTCCGTACCGTTTGTTACTGTATGTACGAGAATGAAAATGAATGCCAATGCACAGTTCGTATTCAGTATCGTATCCTATCCTATCCTAATGCGAGTATGGCCTATTGTGATACTTGGGATCCGTCTCCGGCGTCTTCTCCGGAGGCACGTCGAGTTCCTCGGCATTGAGGTACCAAGAAGGATCCCCGCCTCCGGGCAACAGGTGGACGCTCCAGCCGTTGCCCAGCCATCGCAGCCTGTTGTCCTCGTGCGACTCGTAATCGAAATCCTCCCACCTCGGGGCGCGAAGGACCTCCATGGCGTGAAGAATGCTCCCCGGCCACAAGCCGGTGATGCGGTCTCCGCTACCGCCGGCGGACTTGTACCAGCTTTTGCACGTGTCCATGTAAATCGTCTTCTTGAAGTACTCGCCGACGTAGGCGGAGAAGTCGTCCACGCGGGCCCGTTTGGGCGTCATGGTCAAGTAATCCTCCTTTTGGAGCTTGCGGATACACTTGACGATGTAGTCTCCCTCGGCCTCGAGCAGAATGGTCAACGTGCCGGCGGCAATGCCGGAGTTGGGTCCCAGCATCATGAAGAAGTTGGGGAAATTCGCCACCGCCACCGAGAGATACGTCTGTGGCTGAGGCGAGAACTCCTCTTGCAACGTCTTGCCGCCCTTCCCGATCAGGGGGAACGGCGGGATGGATGAAGTGTTGAACCCCGTGGCGCAGGCCAACACGTCGAGCTCGATGTGTCGGCCGTTTTGGAGCTGGACCCCGGTCGCGGTCACGCGTTCGATCCGGTCCGGCACAAAGTCGACATTGTCCTGCACCAGGGCTTCCAGGTAGCCCGGACCCGGCGTCAAGCGTCGACAGCCCACGGCGAAGGCGGGAAGGAAGGAGTCCAGCAGAGCCGGCTTGCTGGCCAGGCGCTCGCGAGTGGCCTTGCCAAACATGTCCAGGAACATGTTCTGCATTTCGGACCCCATCAGAGTCGAGTAGTGCACCATGTTCCCATCTTCCTCGATGGCCTTGCGGAATTTCAGGTATTTGTCGGCGTTGATCGCAAACTCGTTGCGTTCTTCTTCTGTGACTGGGGGCCGTGAGCCAGGGTTCTTCTCCCCTCCATGAAGGGACATGCAAACGCAAACCCGGGTCGAAACTTACAATCCAGTCTCGTTGGATCCAGTCCTAGCGACTGCATGACATGGTCGCCAAATCTGTCAGATATCCAGACCTTGTTTCGCACGAAACACGTCACATGAGTGCCCTCTTTCTTCTGGAGAACGGGCACGATCTGGATAGAGCTGGATCCGCCACCAATGACGCCGATCTTCTTGTGGCGGAAATCATAGCTGTCGAGGGCCTCGGTCAGCATTTTAGACTCAGACTGACCACATGCCCCGGAAGGTGTAGAGTAACGAGGCTGGATCACCAGACTCAGACTCAGCCTCTGCCTTAGACTCACCTCTCGTTCCATGCTGCAGAGTGCATCTTTTCGCCTTTGAAAGAGTCGATGCCTGGAATATCAGGCCAGACGAAATCATTCAAGCTTCCCCGGCAGGAAATCACAATGTCGGCCTCTTCGACAAAGGTTTCTGTTTCTCCACTGACCGTCTTCTGCACAGTCAATGTCCTGATCGCTCTCATATTAGCCTCGCATCTTTGAAAAGGAACGAATGGACAGGGTATGGCCAACGACAACAATAGCGACAACAACAACATACCACTTCTTGCGAGAGTCGTCCCAGACACATGCGACCACCTTGTGGCTTAGCTTGACAAAGCGCGGGACGCCGTACTTGTCCGCCACATTCTGCAGATATTGACAGATCTCCTGGCTGGGGGCGTAGAATCCCGACCAGCGCGGATTGGGTTCAAACGTGTACTGATACGAGTGGGCTAAAAACCAGGGAAGCAACCCAGGTCCGTCAGCAAACAGATCCTATCGCCTGGTCACTGTGATCTGGGTCTGGGTCTGGGTCTGGTGGCGTTCTTCGTTCTCGCCAGCCCGAGCCTACTTACATGGAATATCACAGGCACATCCTGGATATCGATTCTCCCACCATGTGCCGCCCACGCCCTCGTTCTTTTCGTAGATCTGGAAGTCGATGTTGCGGAGCCGTTGCGGGATGCGGATTCCCAGATAGATGCCCGAATACCCGGCTCCAATGACCCGGACTCTCAGAGGGCGGAAGTTCTCGACGGGGGTGTCTTTGATTTCATATAAAGGCAAAGGCACCTCGCTGCTGCCCATCTTCTCGGAGTTGAGGTGGCGATGATCTGGCAGTCTTCAGTTTCACTCGGCCTGGACTAGCTGCTGTTCTGCTCTAGTAGTGTTCTGGCGAGAGAATCCAACAAAAATCAATAAGGGGATTGACAAGTACTGTAGGCATGTACAGTAAATCAATGAGATATCCAATAATAGGTCCCTGCCAATAATACCAATCCAAGTATACAGTTTTCTTTTTTGATCTTATAGTCACAACCGAACCGAAGCGATCAAGATAGATCTTAGATAACGCTGATATCCACGGATACGATACAGTCCCCTTTCCTTCACTATCACCAGGGCGGGTCGGGGCTCCCCAGGAACCCCACGCACTATCTGTACAGTATCCGTACGGAGTCGGGAGCAGTCCTAGGCGGTACATACATGGATTTCCTTATCTCTTCAGAGACCCCACCCAGAATGCATATCTAGAATCTAGGTATACAGTGATTACAGCAGCCCATCCCATCCTAGCAGGTCAAAACCTCGAGTCTAGATGGATTACAGTTCATATCTTTCCTATCAGTGTCATGTCTCTCTTACGATTACTGCTCTGTATGTTCTCGTCGGCGGTGCTCACTGTCGGTGCAGGTGCAGTACCCGACCGCCCATTCAGTGGCCTTTCCGCCCAATATTGCAGTGGTTTGGTACAGTAATCCCATTCCATAGGTCCTAACAAAGTCGTCTACGATGTGTATGTGTCACCAGACCAAACATCATTGGCTCGGTCCTCTGGAGAGTCTGAGAGCATATCATCTCAATATTATACATGATCAATCCGGGCGTATAGATATACAGTATTTTGATGGAATTCGATTTTTGGACGACCAACATCAGTTAGTATAAGAGTCATTCGGCAGATAAAAGAAATATAGTATATATCAAGTTCTGGACAGATCCAATATACAGTAAGTATACCCACACCAGAGCCTCCCCATGTTCCCAAGATCCCCAGGCTACTAAGCACGCTCCTTTAAGTCGGGTTCTACACTGACACTCTCGACAACCTCGACCCCGTCACCTAGATCCTCGACGTGAATATCGCCGAATCTGAGGGCGACCTCTTCCAGCGGCACCCGGGCTGTCTCGATAAAGAGGAGATAGACCAGCACCAAGAACAAAATGTCCCACGAGGCATTGATGAAGTAGAACTTGTATCCCAAGTCGTCCATGGCATAGCTCATGGTGAAGGCGGCCAGCAAGCCAAATCCATAGTTAAGGAATCGGAACACGGCGTTTCCGGCCGTGCGCAGCTTCAGGTTGAGCACCTCGGGGGGATACAAGCTGGTCATTGGGGAGACGGAGAAGGCATAGAACCCTTGGTACAGGAAAATAAAGGCAATCGTGCCATAAATGCCGCTCTTGTTGGTGCTCCCCGTGCCGTAGAGCTTGGCCATCCCGCCGAAGATGTAGAGCGTGACGATCATTCCGATCAGGCAGACGATCAGGGTGCGGCGGCGTCCAAACACGTCCAGAAGTAGACTGCCTGACACGGCCACGACGAACGACCAGCAGCTGAGGATGATGTTGATCTCGAGTTGCGTAATGGGGTCGGTGATCCCGGCTTGGGTCAACATGGAACCGAGATAGAAACTATCAGACGGACGGTCAGTACATAAATCGACATGGACGGGCTTGGGCTTTGGATGCCAGCAAGGGCAAGGGCGGGTCACTACTTACGAGATGACGAAATCGCCCAACATCTGGATCATGACGCCAAAGATGACAATGATGGCCATGCGATGGCGATTGGCCTTGCTTGCAAACATCTCCTTCCACGGGTTGCCCGGATACAACTGGTGCTCCTTGTGCAGGACGTTTTCGATCTCAGCCAGCACGGCCGTGGTCTGCTCGTCGTTGGGATCGCCGTGGCCATAGATAACGGCCAGGGTCTCCCGGGCCGCATCCCTTTGGCCGTGTTCGAGGAGCCATCGGGGCGATTCAGGTATAAAGGGCAGGGTGACGAGGGCCATGATGCTCCAGAAGGCCTGGAAGATGGACGGAAGCCTCCATGCCCAGGTGCCTGAAATGTTGACCGCACGGTAGTTGATGCCCGCGCTGACCAGGGAGCCGACGTAGAAGCAGCTGAAGAAGAAGCCCATGATCTTGCCGCGGTGTTTGGCCGGCAAGACCTCGCTGAGCAAGGGGGGCACTGCTCCGGTCGAGATGGCCGGGCCGATGCCCAGAATGATCCGTCCCAAGATGAACATGCCGATATTTTGCGCCGCCGTCTGCAGGATGACCCCGACAAGAGCGATCGAGGCCCCGATCAGGATGCCGGCCTTGCGGCCTAGACCGTCGGCGACGGGCTGGATGAAGAACGCTCCCAGGGTTCCCCCAAAGAAGATACCGGCGTTGTTCAATCCAATCGTGGCAGTGGTGAGATGAAAGAAGTCGGTGTACTGCGGCAGGATGTTGAGGCCGTTCATCATGGAAGCGTCATAACCCAAGGTCTATCATGATCGGGGGTCAGTAAATTGTTTCCACTTCCACTTCTCACTTCCACCGGCTTGGGCTTGTGCTTTCAACATACCGCTTCATTCACAACGGCGATACCGACACAAACGACGTACAACAAGTTGGGGTTTTTGGGCACCAATCTGCCAACATGTTTGCGTTCAAACGCCACCACGGACGCCATGTTGACACTGAAGCTTGACGATGAGCTCGGTTGGCTGGCTTTCCGGAAGATTTGCCTCTGTCGGTATCTGTACAGTGCCAGTGCCAATGCCAATGCTAGTAGATTGAAAATCAAGGGAGCTCGACACGCCGAATCTTTGGCGACTTGTGGGGGGGTATTTGTACGGAATCTCCACGCCCTATATCTGGTATCTGGTATCTGGCGAGTCGTCTATCTCAAACCCGGGATCCCGGTCTGAGCTTCTGAAAAGATTCGGGCTCCCACGGGGCTACGGGCCAGCCAGGTGTCTAAATTCCCCAAGATATCATATCTCCTGTACCTCGACCAGACCAGGGGCTCGCCATCCGACCAGTAGGCTGAATATGAATTAGCCCATTACGAAGACGATTTGGCTATTCGTCAATGGGAGAATTGTATCGTCGATAATCGATTGAGAGCCGAGCCTTTCACACGGACAAATCAATTCATATCTAGATTAGAGAATTGATAACACGAATTGTCTACAGGTGGGCCGAACTCAGCCAAAGTTAGCCGAGCTGCTTCGAGCCCATTCGAACTCAAGCGAGCTGGCACGGGCCCAAACGAACTGGAGCGGGCGGGCGGCCTCGCTGAAGACATCCAGACTCAGGACGTGAACAGGGCATCTCCGTCGATACCAAGCAGCCTAGGACAAGAGTTTGCCTCCCTAGAGACCCCATCTGGGGCCCAGGCTCCCCAGACAGGCTACGAAATCTCTCAACCGAAGACCTAAAGCTATTTATCATCTATTTGCAAGGCTTTGAGGCAGAGAAACCTGCATCCCAGTGTCATCTCTTGAAATTCCATGTGACCGACACTTGTCCTTGCCATTCACCGTCCACATCACGTTGATACCGCAGCGTTTCCCGACAACTCACACTCACCATCCTCCTCGAAGCATCTCACGCAGACTCTGTCATTCTACAGTATGCCTGGAATATTAGCAGCCCGGGAGTGGCCCGCCTGGCCCGAGTTCGTATCCCCCAAGGATGTACCAACATCTGCCGCCGACGAGGCTACGTTTCAGGCGACCAAGGCTGCCGTCATCCAGGAGTACGGCGAGAAGGCGTTGACGGAGAGCTGGATCCAAACCTGTGCCGAACTCGAGAAAGTGACGGCCGAGATTGTCGACAAGGATCGCGACATGATTTCCATCCTCAAGATGGAGGATATTGTCGCCGGGCGAGTGAGCGACGAAACCCGAGCCCGGATGAAGGAAACGGGGTGTTTTGTCGTGCAAAATGTCATTGATCCCGCCACTACCAACCAACTGTTTGCCGACCTCGATCGATTTACAGAGGTCAACAAAGGCCGGTACCGCTCGTGGCCGGAGGACAACCCGTCCATCTTCACCCTGTTCAACACCCCGACCCAGAATGCCGCTCGCACGCACCCCAACCAACTGCAGTTGATGAAATGGATCAACAACCTCTGGCACTGGTCGGAATCCAGCACTGACGTGAGTGCCGAGCCGCTCCTCTACGCCGACGCCGTGCGTAAGCGTCCGGCCGGTTCACCATTCCTCGGGCTGGGACCGCATATCGACGGTGGCAGCCTTTGTCGATGGGCAGACCCGGTCTACAAAAAGGCATACCATCCTGTTTTCGCCGGCAACCCTGAGGAAGTCGACGTCTATGACTTGGATGCCAGGAAAAACGTCAAGTTTGACCTGTTCCCCGGGAGGGCGCATACCAGCGTGTTCCGATCTTTCCAGGGCTGGACTGCTCTGACGCGGACGGCGCCCCGCGAAGGTACCATTCTCCTGTACCCCAATGTCAAGACGGTCATCGCCTATGTCCTGCTCCGACCGTTTTTCCAACCTCCCGAGGACCCATCCAAGGTCATGGATGCCAGTCAGTGGAAGTTCGACCCAAACCCAGACCAGGCCTTCTTTCCGGGCACCAAGACGTGGGAAAGTCAGCGCCTCAGTGCTCTGTCACACCCACACTTGCGACTGAAGGAGTGCCTGGTGGCGGTGCCGGAATTGCAACCCGGCGACACGGTTTGGTGGCACACCGATGTGAGTTTCGCAATGCTGATGATTCCTGTTGGAGATTGAACTGTGCTGATTGTCCCCTTGTAGGTATGTCACGCCGTGGATGCCGAGCATATTGGCAAGGACTATGCCAGCGTCGTCTATATTGCGGCAGTTCCCACCACCACTGCCAACAAGGAATATACGCAGCAACAGTACCTGCAAATGGCCGCCGGTCTGCCACCAAAGGATGGCGGCGAAATGGGCGTTGACGAGTCCAAGTTGGAGGGCTGGACGGGTTTCAGTGAGAACTCAGAGCTGGTCAAACGGCTGATGGGGTTCTGATCCTGCACCATAAGATCCTTGTAGCCGATGAGAATGAGAATCTTGATCAGATTCTTGCCCTCGTTCATGGATCCGTCCGAGTGCCATGAGCGCGTTGTTTGACTAGAGCGCCGGAGGCCACAGTTCACATGACCTGTACATAGTTTTGGTTTTCATTGCTTCATGTCGAACTGAACCCGGCCAAGAGTGTTCTCAAGTGCTTGACCGAATATTCCGCCACGTTGTTTCCTGCCATGACTTGTGCCAAAAGGTAGATGCACTTGGAAAGATCCAACATCAAGGCGATTGATTCGGTGGCATCGAATGTGTGCGACATTTCCGAGGCAATGATAAGGCCTACATTGTACAGGTGTAGTGTATAGGTCCTGGCAGGTCAGCTTCAGCTTCAGCTTCACCGTGGGGCATTTCGAAACAGGACAAGCCACTTCACTTACATGTATCGTCGCTGGTGGGCCGATAGATCAGAGGATTCGTAGACCGAGATGACCGATCGCGCCGATTGCAAACACAGTATGCGCTGGCTAAGACAAAGACTGGGTGACATGGTCCATGTCTTGTGGCAATGGTGGTTGATTTTGGCACGGAAAAGCAGAAAGGTGGTTTTGAGATCCTCACGCTGCCATCTGATCCACAGGTGTTTCGCTTCCAGGGCCCGTGTTTGAGGAGACTTGACGACGTTGTCTCGCAGATGAGCTGGGAGCCCGTCCATGAGGCTGGTCAATTCACTGTCGGCGCGATTGACCACGATTTCAAGGTCACTCGGGTTCGTCTGCACGGCGCGGTTGAATCGGTGAAACACAACCGCTATCTGGCATAGAGTGGTGGTATAAAGCCACGGGCTGATGTGGTGCGATGGCAGCTCGTCGGGGATATGGCCGCTTTCGAGCTCGTCGTCATCCATGGGGAGGGGTAAAAGCATGTCAAAATCTGCCTCGTGGATGTAGGGCCGGTTGGAGGAATGGCCAAGCCTACCAGAGCAGGATGGTGAGTGGACTCGACGATTGCATACCGAGCTCGCAGCAAGCAAGGACTCGACTTACCACTCGTTAATCACAAACACCCACCACAACCGCCGTGCGACTTCGGACTCGATCAGCGATCGCGTGCCGGTGCCGGTGCCGGTGCGTGCAAACGGCATCCCGAGGTTGTTCGCAATCCGGATCCCGATTGCCAGCAGGCGAGGTCGAAACACAATGTCCCCGGCCGCGTGGCAGCACATCTGGAGGATTCCAATCGCTTGCACATGCATCATGTTACTGTCTCTCATGTAGTTGGCCAGGTCGAGACAGAACAGGGACGCGCTGTACCAGTTACACATGAGCCAGGGCCGATCGCCTGTGCACCAGCAGTCAGTACTTCCGGTGGTGAAAATTCGCCCATTGGATTCGGGCTCGAGTCTCACCTGATGGCAAATTGACGTGTTTCTCGTCTATGGTCAACAGCGCCACCTGGTCGCCCCGTCAGTCTTCAGTACTCCAAGCTTAGACAGAAGGAAAGAAGCCCTTGGTCCGCCCATGGAGACGTACGGCCAACGTAGCGAAATAGATCGCCAACCACGACGGGTCATATTGAGACAAAGCTCCCCCCCGATTCATATGATTCCAAAATCGGTCGTGGGCCGCTTCGAATTCGCGATAGTACAATGAGCAGTGTATCCAAGAGTTCCAAAACTTGTCGTGCTCGATGAGTTCAGCGCTTTGCGCCTGACTGGGTACAACGACATCATCCCAGCTGCGAATCATTTGAACGATTTTCTGGGGAGTCGACATGGCCACTAATTTCTCCGGGTCATTGAGGATGTTGTTCAGAGAAGGCGTGGGGGAAGTCCTCGCCGGTTCCTGTTCCCGCATCAACGGTGAGGATGAATATTCCTCGACCGTTGCTGGTGTCTGTGTCTGGGGCAAATGTCGGTGCTGGTGCTCCCCCTGGCTAGCAGGAGCATACGTGATCGAGTGCTGGCTCTGGCCCGGGCTCTGGCTCTCATCATCCACCCTGCAAAGAGGTACATGTCAATTCTAGTTGCGACCTTCAGTGACGCTGAGCTTGGCTGCAAGAGCAAGACATAGGACATGAACGGACGGCTGGGCTGACATACACGGTCTCGACGCCACGAACAAGCACAACTTCGCGGCTGCATCTTGACGCCAGTCCCCGTGTTTTGCAGGGCTTGCAAGGGATCACCTTGTCGCATTTGATTCTGCGCGAATGACACTCTTTGCAGCTCCGAGGAGCCCGCTGCGTTCGGCGCATGGAAGTGGATGTGGACGCTGCGGCCTAAGACATTCAATAAGAATGGCCGAGAAATGCGCCTACAGTACCTTACCTGGCCTGGTGCCTAATCTGGTGCCTGGTCTGATACACCGGGGAAGAGGACGAGAAGATAAAGAGAAAGATACGGGGATGGAGACGGAGACGGATCGGGAACCGCTGCGGTGCTGGTGGTGGTGACCGTTTCCGTCCCAATCGTTATCGCGCGGGCCGAACACCACACCAGGATTTACATAAGTCCCTGGGCCTCCTGAGCCCAAGCCCAAGCCCAAGCCCACGTCGACTCGAACACTCTCCTCACACTCACGCCAGTGGCAGACGACAGATATAACCAACGCCTATAACCCCTATTACCACTATAGCCATCCACTACACTGTTCCCGCTCGACACCCACCACCCACCCTCCCTTTCTCTCTCTGCTGGGTTGCTGTCATGGCCTCCCCGACCCCGACTGTTGGCCAATGGGCACTGAAGATACCTTATGCTCATGACAACTTCCTTCAGACGTACGATGTCTATCTCGTTGACCAGCCGGCTGTACCGTCCTCAACCGTTGAGCCGGCGGAGAAAATCTGGTTCATCTATATTCACGGTGGTTTCTTCCGCGATGTACTAGTCGACTCCGCCTCGCTCCATCCAGCTGTATCGCTCCTCACAGCTACAGCGGCAGCGGACTCATCGGTGCAGAAGAACATTGCTGGGTTCGCCTCACTCAACTACCGTTTGTCCCCCTCGGCCAAGGTCCCGCAAGATCCTTCGACCCCAGCCTTTGACCTGCGTGCTGCGGTGTGGCCGCAACATCTGGATGATGTATGTGCCGGCATTCGCCATTTGCAGGCGGCATTCTCGTTCGGCGCCAACTACATCCTGGCGGGCCACAGCGTCGGTGCCACGGTTGCTCTCTTGGCCGCGATCAAGGGCAAGCAGTCACACGGCATCATACCCCCCAAGGCTGTACTCGGACTAAGTGGCATCTATGATTTCCCCCTGCTCCATGAATCTCATCCAGAGTATGAGGCCCTCACGTTTAACGCGATGAAGAGGGGCGAGGAAGTGGCCGCCAGCCCAGCCATATATGATGTGCAGACCTACAAGGAAGCTGGAGTGTCTCAAGTCTTGTTGGCACACTCCAAGGACGACGGACTAGTGCCGTGGAACCAGGTGGAGGCAATGGAGACGGTGTTAGTACCTGGTGGTGAGGGCTATGTGCGTGTGCTCGAGCTCTTTGGCAAGCATAACCAGATTTGGGCCGACGGAACAGAGCTCTCTCGGGCTGTTACTGCTGCTGTAGAGTCCTTGGTTGCGTAGGAATATATGCATCAGCAAGCACAAGTTGCCAAACACCAACCATGTCACCTTGTCACCGATACCCTTCTATATATCCAGGGATATCCAGAGTTCCAGGCGAGTGGCATCGACGGTTTGCTGCTAGCAGATCAGAAAGAGAGCATATAACACCTAGACCATTGACGAACACCATCAATAAAATGAGGGCTGAAGGTTCTCCTTAGGCAGGCCCTCTGACTCATGGTAAGTAATCAGGCTCAGGACAAGTAGGAGCTGGGCTGTGGAAATATACAGCAGAAAGAGTCGGCCAAGACGGAACAAGTGACAATTAGCCATAGCGGATATGTTTATATTGCTTCTTTCAAGCCCTGCGCAATGTATGGGACAATGATACTGTGAACATGTGGACTCGAGGACACAAGATCATATTAATATCGTCAATATTGTTTGCTGTCTGACGGAACAGGGCGAGTGAGGGACTAATGTACACCTGATAAGAACGAGTCCTCCATCTTGCATTGGTTGAACCTGCAACATCCTTACATCTTTGCAGCGGGTAAACAACAATAACCGAGGAGCCTTGATGCACAAGGCTGTAGGAACGTCACTAGCCACGGCCAAACCAGCTGGCCCCAATCAGTGAGTGGATGCCAACTGTCTCGATGAAAGCGGAAGTGTGCCTCGAGCCTCAGCTTTCGGGCGGGAATTACTGAGCCAGCTCGTCAGAGAGGAAGAGCGCAGCGGCTGGACCACAGAATGCGAATGAGAAATGACAACCCCGAAAGCCCGAAGTGGATGGAACTTGGGTGAAGCTCGGATTTCGTGTCATGGCCTCAGACGTCTTAAGGTGTGATGGCTATCTCCAAAGAGAGATTTGAAATGCCCTTCAACACAGATGAGCGTGGCCATGTCTGCATATCAGCAGAGTAGCGACCAGAGCCTCTGAGCCAGAGACAGTTTGAGGGCGTCGAACTAGTCCAGCTTTGGTGGATTCTCGGTCGGACGCTTATCCTTCTGGTTTCTAAACGGCAGACGCTTCTTTGAGATATGTATGGATGTTGGTAGATCGGTGAGGCTCGCCAGCGTACACAGAAACCGGATGCGTTAACCTGGTGACGCATCGAGCTGGTCACAATGGCAATCGCCGCGAGCCAGCATCGACCGTCATAGGCCGATGCACACCCTGTACAAATTTTGCATCACGAATTTGCATCGTGTAGCAAGGCCCGGTGCCATTGTGCAATTGGGAGGTCTGTCAACTCCATGCCGAGTCTGATAGAGAAGTTCTTGAGTGATAGAAGTACGATCAAATGATCAGCACAAGCATCAATCGGATCAAGGCGGCCTTCCCAAGCGACTGAGGGAGCGGAATCGATGGCCTGGTTTTGCTCGCGATCTCGTTATCATCGAATGCCTCTCGACGTTAGGCTTGGTGATCCGCCCCCCTGTGTTCTTCCGCATACATCTCTTTGTCTTCTTTGTGTCATCGGCGCCATCATGTCTGGACTTCCCTGTTCGAGGGACGTGATGCCAGGATGCAGGAACAGGAGGAGGTGAAGGAGTAGGACTCAGTGATTTGGGTGATTCGGAGGGAAGATTACGCCAATAGTTTCTGAAGTAGGCACGCTGGGGGCTGAGTTGTTCATCGGGCGTGACACTGCGGTGCGGCGAAGACGCGGTGTGCTCCAAGGATGAGTCACGCTCGAAGTCGGTGACAGATTGGGACTGCTGTCTTGTGTCGATGATGTTGGCTATCTGATGAAGCTTCGCGGTGGCATGGTAGAGTCGTTGATCGGTCAGTAGGTCGTTGAGTTTTTGGCGGATGGCATCGAACTTGTCCTCTGGATGAGAGAGGAGAAGATGGTGCTGGGGGAGGAGATAGGTCTGCGACATGGTCTAGCTACCCGTTCATTGTGCGTTCAATAGATCATGGGAGCATTGCGGTGAGAGAAAGTGGTGGTGATGATGGTGGCGTGGAAGAGTTGAGTGTTGCTGATGGGTGAAGCCAGCGCCCACTCGGAGAAGTTGCCTTTGCGAGAGGGTTGTTCGGCAAAGTTGCCTAACCTTGTGTCAATGCTAACGCCCAACCTCAGTGGTGGACACACGGCATACTCTACATACTCTCGACTCGACTCTCGACCTCATTTCCCACAAATTGTACCTGTTCATATTCATATTCTTAACTTGAAACTGAGAGTGTTGGCGTTCCATCTCGAGGCCTTTGCTCTGGCTGGAGCCAAATCATGTATATCTGGCTTTGATACCCAACGATGGCGTGACAACCCCCCAAGTCCCTAGGCTCCCGCCTGAGCCTGAGCCACCGAAAATGGCCGGGCGATCCGATGAACAAGATACACAGCGCTTGTCAGAGTATGAAAGGCTGCAGGCTGCTCATCTCGCTGTCTCTGCATCCCCCGTGGACCCTGGATTCGATGAGTTTGCGAGGCTCGTGCCCTGCAATCCGGCCGCACGGCTCGCTTTTCATGACCTCGCCCTCGAATTGACGAAGACCAAAGACCTAGCACACTACCAGAAGTTTATGCATGTCTCTAGCCACGTCCCGACAGGTGACCTCTCGGCCAAAAAGTCTCTGCTTCGGCGCGAGGATACAGACTCTGACTTTTCCGACTCTTCGATGGACCAGGCTGGACCGACGACCCAGTACACCGGCCACTTTCGATTCAGTCTCTCGTGCCTACCGACAGACTTCAGACGTGGTTGGGTGGTTGGGGCTGGGCGCCGCGACCAGCCGGACCTGGGGGTGGATTTCCGCATTACCATGAATGGAGCCCGCGATTACGTGAGAGGAAGACACGTACAGTTTCTTCACAATCGAGAATTCGGCACCTTTTTATTCAAGGCGATTTCAACCCGACTGCATACATCTCTCAATGGCATGGTGGTGGACAAAGAAGGGTGTCTGGTTTCGCATCCATCACAGAATATTGGTATAGGAAACTTGACTTATAATCTTGAGTTCGCGCAGGACGACGCAGTGAAGGCGCGCTATATACGAGGCTTACATGATCTCATGCGAGAGAATCCTCGGTTCCAACGGTATCCCATGTCATCATTCGACCCAACACCTGCAGCAAATCAATACATCATCGACCGTTATCTGATTCAGGCCCCTCAGGCGGCTGGCGCATACGGTGTCGTGTCAGCCGCTGCCCACTTGACGACGGGCAACGTGTATGCGGTGAAACGTTTGACCAGGACGGACCATAACCGCAACAGTATCCGCCATGAGGTTGAAATCATGGAAGTGGTCGGGAATCACGTAAGACGTCCGCGACGTTTTAATCTTACGGTTCTTTGCTAACCCATTCCAGCCCCACGTCTGTTCGCTAGTCGATACAGACTTTGGGAAGGCAGATCGCCGCAGTCTCAGGACCAGCCGTGTGGACACTGTTCATTTGATTCTCACCCCCTTAGCAACCCGGACGCTTGAAGCATTTGTTGGTGGGCTCGAAGCGAGACCGCTCTGTCTCAAAGCATTGCATCATGTTGCGCAGGGTCTTCGCCACATCCACGCCATGGGCATCATCCACCGTGATGTGAAACCAAGCAACTTGCTCATCGCGGAGCCGTTTCGTGTCGTGGTGGCAGACTTTGGCCACTCTACCCACGAGAAGGCGTCACGCAATCACAAGATGGGAACGATCTGGTACTTGGCGCCAGAGATTGTTGAATTGAAGACCAGCAGCCATGCCAAAGGCCACTGGTCGCCCGCATCTGATGTTTTTGCATATGGTCTTGTTGGGTATGAGCTGATTCACGGTGAGATTCGGCGGGCTGGCGGCTTTATCAACAACACGGTGTTGGATCGTCTCCTCACCATGGTCAATGGGTCGCAAGAACCCATTGATACCCTGCTCCAAGCATCGCTCTCACGTGATCCAGATCAGAGGCCAAGCATGAGCGATATTTGCCTGGAGAGCTTCTGGGGGGAAGCTGAGACGACGACTAACGATTCGAAGAGGAAGCCTCCCCTAGAGTGATTGGCTCCAACATTTATGTGTGTCTCGTGGTGTCCCTTCATCCCCACGATAGTCAGCTCCAGAAGAACCAGCATCCGCATGTACCAGCAGAGGCAGGAAACAGCAAACAGTGTGCTTAGACCGGATTCCGGGAGCGATCAGATCATCTGGAGTTCCAGAACAGCAGCAAGTACTTTATCTCCCGATATTGCCTGGAATTGGTATTCAAGCCTCCACTGGCTGTTCTGAGGTAAGTGCGGGCGAAGAATCAAGAGAGAGATGTTATGTTCCTGATTCGACAAAGAATAGCATCTCGGACGATCAGGTCAGGCATCTATTCTCAGCCAACCTATACCTATATACGTGCTATGTTGTCTCTGCCGCTCCTGGGCGAAAACAATTGGCGCATTCAATATTTCAGCCTGGTTCAACTTTTTCGTCCTTTTCCTCTTACGCGATGCCGTCAATCTGTCTACTGCCCATCGTACACATCATAGCGGTAGGAGGCCCCGACATGGTCATCTCTCAAGTGCTTTTGACCTTGGCCGTACACCCGCTCTCTCATGGTACCACTTTCGCCAGGCGGGGAGTAGATGCCCCGTTTTCTGAGCTCGGGGACCAGCAACTCGACGACGTCCTCAAACGAGCCCGGGACCACGACATAGGCGATGTTGAAGCCGTCCAGATCGGCTATCTTCACCCAGTCTTCCAGGACATCGGCGACCTGAGAGGGCGAGCCGATGGGGACGGGACCGTTGGCGCCAATAGAGATCAAGCGGCCAATGTTGCGCGGAGTCCATTTGGGCACGTCGTCGCCGCGATAAGCCAAGGTCTCGAGGGCGGAATGGACGCGGGCGTCGACAGTGACGTCGTCGGGCTTGATTTCCTGGTCCAGGTCGAACTTGCTGAGGTCGATGCCGGTGCCGCCGGAGAAAAAGGCCAAGCCGGCCTCATGGTTGGCGTAGCGGAGAGCTTCCTGGTACTTCTCCTTAGCCTCCTCCTCGGTGTGGCCGAGGACGGGAGTCATGGTGGCAAAGATCTTGACGGAGCGGGGATCCCGTCCTGCCTCTGCCACAGCCTCGCGGATCTTTTTGACCCGGCCGGCCAGAAGGTGTGGCGACGGGCCGGCGACGAAGATGGCCTCTGCGTGGGTGGCGCCGAAAGCTACTCCCGCTGCCGACGTGCCCGCTTGGAAGAGAAAGGGCGTCCGCTGCGGGGACGGATCCGTGATATGCGGGCCATCCACGGTGAAGCGCTTGCCATGGTGATGGACGGGCTTGATGCGGTTGAAATCCGCGTAGATGCCAGCTTCGCGGTCTTCCTTGAGGGCGTCGTCTGCCCAGCTTCCTTCCCAGAGCCTACACGAACAGCGGCGCAGAGCATTGTCAGCAAAGGAACAGGAACTGCAACTGCAACTGCAACTGCAACTGCAACTGCAACTGCAACTGCAACTGCAACTGCAACTGCAATGGCAATGGCAATGACAAGGGTAGGGAGCAAAACGGAATCAATTCAATGGTTGACTGACTTGTAGAGGACTCGAAGATATTCGTCTGCAATCTGATATCGCTCGTCATGCTCGACCAACGGCAGCCCGACCTGTGCAGGTTGTCAGTGGTCAGCAGGGATGGCGGATGACATTGAGGTGAGTGGTTTGTTTCATGGAGTACCTACAGCTTTAGCAGCCGAAGCCTTCCACGACGTGACAATGTTCCAGCCAAAGCGACCACCGGTCAAGTGGTCGAGGGTCGAGAAGCGCTTGGCTACGATATAAGGTGCCTCATAGGATGTCGAGGTCGTGATGGCAAACCCCAGATTTTTGGTCGCGGCCGCCATGGCGCTGACGGGCTACAGTGTAGCCAGCCGGGTTAGCCACCGTCCCAGGCACAAAGGACATACATGCAAAGTACATGCTACGGACAGGACGGGTGGCACAGGCACAGGCACTCAGCATACGATGACTGGATCCCCCATGGGGTACTGGGCCCCCGTCCGGACGGCCGGCTCGGACGAGCCCTTGTAAGTATCGTAGACACCATATGTGTCGGCCAGGAAGAGCGCATTGAAGTCGCCTCGCTCCAGCAGCCGGGCTAGATCGGTCCAATAGGAAAGATCCCTGCGCTTGTCGGCAGAGCGATCGCCGGCACGCCGCCACTGTCCAAACGACTGGTGGCCGACCGTGAACATGTCGAAGGCGTTGAGGAAAATGCGCCGTTTCTGGCTGCTCTGCCCGTCGGCGGCGGCGGCGGCGGCGGTGCTGACTTGCGCCATGACTGTCAACGAGGAAGAGGAAGGCTTTTGTTTTGTATCCCAGGGTCAGGGTCAGGGTTAGGGTCCGGGGGATGCAGAGGGCGGTGACAAAGAAGGCGATCCTATCTACATAGACGGAGACAGGTATCAGGTATCAGGTATGGGGACTAGGGACAGGGGTTTCACAGGCGATGAACCTTCTCTGTTCTCACTTACATACTGATTATTATCCAGATTTTCTTTTCTTTTCGGCATCCCTGATTCTGCAAAGGGTCGGTTTGCGTGGTGCTCTGGGTTCCTGGTCACGGCATGTGACCATGCTAGCACGCCATCCACCACGGAGCCAACGTGAGAAAGAGATGTGATGGCGATATGTTTGCGGAGTGCGGTCCGTCAGTCTGCCAGCTCAACATGCCCGCATCTTTAGCCGCGGACTGGAGCGTCATGGGCTCTACAAGGACAGACCGGTACAGACTACTGGTGCTAACTGATGTGCAGTATAACACACTAATATGGCAAGGCGGACCCACAGTTGACCTCGAACATGGCTTTAGCCCTATTGCGATATCTGTTTATAGGCTCAGGAAGGATTGGTTGGCTCGGGCCTGAACCTGGTTGGCAGCGGCAGCGGGGCTGAGATGACAACAACGAGGCTGCTCTGGCGTGATCCGGAGACTGGCTCTGCCTCCTATCCTAGTCCCAGTCCCAGTACCAGTACCGTGCGCAACTTCCCCCGCTGACGATGTATAGAAGCACGATATGGGATGGACGCGACACCAAGGCAGATCCGACAGCTTTGTCGGGCTCGACCCCGACAATCACAGGGGGTGTGGCCCGACAGTTGTTGCCCCAACTCGACCAGGCGCCGCGGACCTCTCTTCAAGGGAGGGCAGCTCCTAGTCTAGTGCCTACCTACCTACCTACTACCTCGACACGATCGTCGACAACATTGACAAGGCTCGGGAGACGCGCAGCACAATATAACGTTGTCTGCGTACCAGATAACGTGATTGACTGGCCTCTCGCCTCGCGCTTCGCTTGCTCGCCTCACCCCTGGAGACCTGTGAGTTGTCGCTATCGCTGTCGCTGTCGCTTTCACAGCCATAGAGCCGGTTTGAACGCACGTCATCCTGGCCGCCGTCCAGGTCTATCCGCTCATGGGTGTAGTGTTTATGAACCTGGGCGGGCCGGGGTCTCCTTACTGTATGTTCAAATACTCCCTTCAAGCGCCGAATGTCCACTTTCTGATCTCTGATCCTCCTTCATGGCATTGATTTGATTTGCATTTTTCCACCGCGACTACAATTGAGTCCAGTGCGAGCCAACTCAATCACAATTGCCCCCTTTGACAGTACCTACCAAGCATTACCATCACCATCACGATCGGTTTTGCTAGCATGGCCAAGTTCTTCTCCCGTCTTGGCGAGGTGGTGAGATGGTATCCTGCCGACATGCCGCCTGCCGAGCGCAAGCTTTTGAGTAAGCTTGACTGGCTCGTCTTGTCCTATGCTTGTCTGGCCTTCTTTACCAAGTACCTGGACGTGTCTGCTCTGAGTAAGCTATGCTGTCTTGTTTTATCCTATTCTGTCCTGTCCTGTCCTGTCCTGTCCTGCTGTCATAGGGATCCGCTCGCTCCCTCCCTGACCGAGGATATGAATATGTCCAAGACTAACTGTTGATTCCCTCCCTCTAAATAGCAAATGCCTATGTTTCGGGCATGAAAGAAGACCTCAACCTCCACGGCAACCGACTGAATTACATCAATGCCGCATGTACGTGTCCCTGCCCCTGTCGCTGTGGACTCACTGAATAGGGATCCCAATCCCAATCCCAATCCCAATCCAACAAACTGCCCAAGCAGTGCAGTGTAGCTGAGCTGACTCGTTCCTGTTGATTGGATCCAGACGAAGTGGGATACGTTGTGTTCCAGATCCCCAGCAATCTAGTCATCACCAAATTCCCGTAAGTGTGGTGTCGACCTGTCCTCTGTCAACGCCCAGACAGTACGCATTGCGGGTTTGGGTTGAACCGAACAAGGTTGCTAATCAGTCATGTACGATACCACAGAGCGCAGTACTATCTGCCCGCGGCCGAGGTCTTCTGGGGTCTTTTCACGCTAGGCACGGCCTTTGTCAAGACATACAACCAACTCGTGGTGATGCGCTTCTTTGTCGGCCTGAGCGCAACTTCATGCTATGTCGGACTAGTCCACATCATCAATAGGTGAGTGAGTAGCAGCAGAGCTTGATCTGATCTTGATCTTATCGATATCGATACTGGCCGAGAGAAAACTCCAAGGCTCTTTTCTCTCTCACACACATTTTGAGCTTGACTGGGTGGACTGTACTGACGTTGTCTTCTACCTACCACACCACAGCTGGTATCGGAAAAGAGAACTGGCTCGCAGAAACGCGCTGTTCTGGATCTCCAACCCTCTAGGACAGATGTTCGCCGGATACCTTCAATCTGCGGCGTATACGAACCTGTCCAACGTCGGAGGTCTCCAGGGATGGAGGTAGGTAGCCTATGACCCATGACTCTCCCGATCCTGCGTATAAATCTTGCGCTTGCAGGGAAGAGAAGACCTGAGGCTCAGCTGACACATTCATAGGTGGCTTTTTATCATCTGCACTGTCATCACCATCCCGACCGCGTTCATGTAAGTGATAATAGTCTGACCGGAAGTCCTCCTGCCTGACTGGGCCAATCCTTCCACTGCCTAGAGTCTAGTCTGGGACGGAACTTGCTTGTTGGACTCGGACTTTCTAACTAATCTAAATTTGAATCTGAATCTGATCTGTTGCCAGTGGCTTCATCTTCTTCCCCGACGTGCCCGAGCGGACCAAGTCACGGTGGCTGACGGAGGAGGAAAAGACGTTGGCGCGCACGCGGCTGGCAGAAGAGGGGTTCCAGCCGTCGACGGGACTCGGCTGGGGCGTGTTCCTGCGGGTGGTGGGCAACTGGCGCTACTGGTCGTTTGTCGGTCTGCTGCTGCTGTTCTGCAACATGGCGTACGCGAGCGGCACGCCGTTCCTGCTGTGGCTCAGCTCGCAGCCGGACAAGTACTCGGTGCCGCTGGTCAACAACATCGGCACAATCACGCACGCGGTCGCGGTGGTGTCGGCCCTCAGCACCGCCTACTACACCGACCTGCGCGGCCGGCGCTGGGAGCCCATGGTGCTGTCCGGCGTGCTGTGCGTCTTCAGCAATCTGGTGCTGGCCGTGTGGGCGGTGCCGGACGGCCTCAAGTTCTTCGCCTACATCGCCAACGGCTGGGCCCAGGGCTCCATCGCCGTCATCATCGCCTGGACCGCTGAGAACCTGGCCGACGACCTGGAGGTGCGTGCCGTCACCTTGGCCTCGTACAATGCCTTTGGCGAGGTCACGGGGCTCGTCGTCCCGTTGGTGGCCTGGCAGGTCTCTCATGCCCCGACCTTCCGGGGCGGTTTCATCTGGGTGAGTTTGTGTGATCCTTGTGCCTCTACATTGTCGAATTTGTTTTTCTTCGGGGTCCGATATCCATCTCCATGGGGAAGGGATGGGGGAAAGGACATGAGGAAGGTGAAGAGGAATAGGAAGAGGAAAAAGCATATCGCTGACTTCTGTTCCAACATAGGCGACCGTCATCAGTGTTCTTTTCCTGCTCGTCATCGGCCAGATCTGCTGGTCGCTACGACGAGACGAGAGGAGACGGGGCTTGCTCAAGCCCAAGCCGCAAGGCGCGCCCGAGGAGCTTGGGATCGTCGAAGAGGTGGAAAGGGAGCTGGATGGTTCGGCCATGCCCATCCCGGACGAGAAGACCGCGCACACCGAGACGACGGTGAAGGTATAGGTGGAGGTCGATGTAGAGGGTACTTATGCTGAGGTCTACAGAAAGCATACACCACTGCACCAGACCAGACCAGATTGTAACGGTATTGGAGGGACCTCAGACGGCCCGTAGTACTGTACATACTGTACATACTGTATACCAAGTACAGTGTAGATAGTATAGTATACTATAGTATCCAGCGCCAGTAGCAATCAACACCTGAGATCCTCAGATCCTGCTCTCCGATGATCCATGTACGGTAATTGATCGCGCCAACAGACACTCTCACTCTTGACAGGAGCCGAGTTACGGTGACTGTTGAATTCAGTTGCATGGCAAGGTACAGGTACGGATAGACGAGACACCACTGTGCGTACGACCTAAAACCCTGCTTGCTGGCTGCGCTGGACCTAATTCCTCCTTGTTCGAAGCCAGTACTCCTGCTTATACTCCCACTCACACCGATACTGCTTCTGCTTCTGCTTCTGCTGCTTCTGTTGCCGTTTCTGTTGCTGTTGCTGTTGCTAGTGCTCCTTATCAAAGGCGACAGGACCGGCCAGTGCCGCTCGTACGAGTATCTCCTGCCCCCTTCCGTGCATGCAGCCTTCAAGGAAGCCGCGCCTCAGTAAGCGAGAGCCTGCAGGGCATGTCTCGACAATGCCTAGCCGCCTATCACCCTGGACGGATAATGGTTTGTCCACCACATCATGAAGGAACATGTCGCAGCTGTTCTGGGGTGAGCTTGACGTGGCGTCGTGTCCCGGTAAGTGTTTTCCCATCACGTTCCTAGCTCATGTTCATTAAACAGGAGGACACATAAACCGCCCCTTGTCGGGGGGGGATGCCACCGGCTCATGGCTGAACCCACACCATCCCATCCATTCCTGTACACTTGGATAGTCATAGACCTCTTTCCGACCCTTTTTCTCGATAGATGGATTGAAATTCTGGATACTTCCCGTATTCTTGATTGGTAGATAGGCTAGATAGTTCCCTATTCTCGATAGAAAGACAGGCTAGATACCGTGGCTGTGGCTGTTGCTGTTGCTGAGAGTGAGACTGACGTCCAAGGCCTCCTGCTCGTGTGGCGGTGAGTCGAGAAGGAGAGCGCCGGGAGATGTGGACATGTCCTGCAGCAAATGGGTGGGGATCCCCAGGCTACCGACAAGAGCATGAGCGCGGCGCACCTGGGAGGAAATCCAGTCTTTGTGGATGGGGTCCCGCGTGCGAAGCATGGCCACGGTCAGCGGCCAGGCGAAGCGGTACACCATGAGAGGATTTTCGCCGAGGGATTTGTAGGCAATGCCCAGCAGATCGGTCAGGGTAGTGTCCAGCCAGGAGGGGAACTCGGGTTCGTGACTGTTTCCGTGTTCGGGCTTTTTGCTGCTGCTCAGGCAGGAAAACAAGACGCGCACGGCGTAGTACTCAAGCGCCGAGTGGTAGACGGTCCACATGACGCGGCGGCCGCCTGAGTGGGTGGCGATCCGGGCCATGGTGATGACATCGGCAAAGACCTGGAATCAGAAGCACCACAGAGAGAGATTAGCTGAGTTCCATTCATCCATGGTTTTGTATAGCAGGTAAAGAGCTGATGACAATATCACGGATGGGACAGTAAGTGCTGTCGAGTGTTATAGGGTGTACTAGGTTACACACCTGACCCGCGGTCTCGATCTTCTGCCAAAGCAGGTCGAGGTCGCGCTGATCGACAGCGGCGTTGGTGGACGTGATCCCCAAGCTCCAGAGTTCGATCTTGAGTTTTTCGCACGCCTGCAGCAAGCTCAGTGGCCGGTAGTTCTCGAGGTCGTCCAGGAGCTGCTCAGGGGGGTAGTTGGCGCCCCAGATGCGTGGGAGACAGGTGCGCGCTTCTTGGAACAGTCGATCTTGGTGCAGGTGCGAATCCGCCCGGAGCGACAAGAGATCTTGCGTCAGCTCGCCGCCGCGCAGGTTGCCCAGGGCGAGACTGGTATCGACCAGGCTGCATAGGGTTGGGTTAGCGTCAGGCAGGAACGAAAATGGATTGGATTTTATTCCTTCTAGGGACGGGGTCGAGGGCAGGGGAATGGGACAGGACAGAACGAACGAGATAAAGTATAGAAGTTGCTGGGATGCCGGGGGCAGACCCGGTTTGCCTCCACCTCCAGTCGTCCGCAAATTTTGCGAGACGAAGCTCCGGATGCCGCGGAGGTGGACGTGAGAGGCCTGCACGAGCTCGGGGTCGTAGGTGCCAAACCACAGGATCAGGAACCACATGGCAAACAGGGCGTCCAGGTCCTGGTCGGTCCGGTCGGGCTGTGATGCGCGGTCCAGCAGGCGAGACAGATCTCCCAGCGCGAGGCGGTAGTGGCCGGTGGCCAGACTCTTCTTCTGGCGTGCGGCGGCCTGGACTTGGTCGGGGTCTCGCCCTTGGCCTTGGTCGGTGGCCGAGATATATCGGCATCGCAGCTCCATGGAGGCCAGGGCGATGAAGGCCCGCATGACACCTTTTTCGTGGCTGGCGATACGCGAGTGGATGTACGAGAGCATGCTCCAGGCCCAGGGCTTGCCGATGGCCTGCACCATGAACGAGTTCGGAATATACTGGAAGCATTCGCGGTCTTGAGCACCCAGCATCAATGAATTCGACAGCGGGATGTGGGTGGTCGACAGCGCGGGCCGCAGGAGGTGGAGGTTGGAGCTGGCGTTGTAGAGCATACTCAGGCCCAGCTGCTGCTGTCGTGCGCTCGGGGTACATGTAGGGTTCAGGTCGGGGAACGGAAAAGGCGTGTCCATGGCCGTGTCAGTGGCGGTGGCTTGGTCTTGGTCTTGGTCTTGGTCTCGCCAGGGTTCGAACATGAGCATGTCCATCCCCGGCCCCGGCCCCGGCCGAGACGGCGGTTCTGGCTCACTACGAACCGCCAGCGGCGGCAGCGACAGAGAGGCATCGTCGGTAGCCGAGGCGGAGGCAGCGATAGCAGCAGTGTCAGAGGCAGAGGTAGAGGCAGAGGACGAAGACAGACTGGCTTCCTCCGGGGGAGCAGGACGCAGCAGTCGCCGCCGACGCGGCTTGGCCGGCTTGTCCCACTCGCATTTGATGCCGGCTCGTTCACAGCGGGTGCACAACGGTCTTCGTTCGTCACACTTGATTTTGCGCGTCCGGCACGTCGTGCAGCCTACATGACAGTCAGGTGGCACCGGGCGAGTGGCAGGGACAGAGGAGGAGGAGGAGGAGGAGGGGAGAAGAGAGGCGGCAGGAGGAGGAGGGTGGACAGGATACGGCGGGGAGGGGATCGCTTACCGACTTTCGATCGTGGGCCGTGTCGACCAAAGCGAGGGATCATCCTGAACCTGTCTTTGCCGAGCTGCAGATGAGATGTTGCATGGCTACGTGAGGTACAGATGAGACACAGCTACTCGGTCCGACACGAGAGTAGAGAACTGTAGGTCTCTGATACATATTGCTCTTCCTCTGTCTTATCTTGCTTCTTAGTCATTGCCTGCGATAAGCACATACAGAGGTGTCACGTGACTACTGGCTTAGGGTTAGGGTTAGGGTTACACAGTGCTGCAGTGTACCAATCTAGGAGTTCCATCTATCGACCCTCCGTCGGTATCTTTTTCTGTTTATACATCCCATCTGCACAGGCTAGACATGGACAAGCCCGTCTCAGATCGAGGTCGAGGTCTGACTCTTACAGCACGTATCTGAAGCTGTGCAGTTGCCGGTCGGTCTTGTTCGACAGCTCATCCTCCAACTCTTCCGCAGAAGTCAATGACTGGGGCTTCCCATACAGTCTGTCCCGCCGTCGGTTCTCCCAAATGTAGTAGAACAACAGGGCCACCAGGAAGACCACGCCGATCGCGAGGCCCGACACAGAGGCGATGAGTCCAGTCTGTTCGAGTGTTAGTGTCCGTCGCATGGTCCCAGACTTTGGCAAACACTAGCACCACCACCTGGAAGCTGAGACGTACCTGGTACTTGGGCTCTTGGCTGGCATAGAAGAACTGTGGTCCAATGATGTTGCCCACGCAATAGGCAATAAACAGCGTGGCGCTAATGACGGACCGTTTGGTGAAGCCTCCCACATTGGAGCTGATCAAGGACAGCGAGATGGGGATGTTGGTGGCAAACGCCGAACCCAGGCACAGACCGGCCATGCGGGTGGCCTTGCCCTCACACGTGTACACCATGATCAGACCCACCATGGAGCTCAAGGTGTTGAAGATCATCAGGATGATGCGGGATGAGGGCAGTAAACTGGCCAGGCCCGACGTCAGGACCAAGAAGACCAACTGGGCCGCCCCCAGGGGCATCTGGATGAGCAGAGCTTTGATGTCGGAGAAGCCGAACCCGGCAATGACAATGGCACTGAACTGCATCGGGGGCCGGGGAGTTAGCACAGGGCTCCCTAGCAGGCTTTCGGTTGGGGTGAGCAATGGAGATACATACGCTGGTCAGACCGCCATTGGCAATGTTCACAGCCGCGGTGTAGAGAAAGAGACCCCAGGTTTGCGGATCGAGGATGGCGTCCCACACCTGGGCCATGACGAACTTGTCACTGTCGAGGACCCCCGTTTTGTTGGTCAACGTTCGATTGACCGCCACTTGTCGGTCGGGCTCTTTGAGGAAGACCGCCTTTGCTGGCGAGTCGGGAAGAAACAGAAAGAGAACAAAGGCATAGCCGGCCGTAACGGCTCCGAGGATGATAAAGAGCAGCCGCCACTTCTCCAGCGAGGAGGTGGTGATGTGTCCGATCCCGTAGGCGACGAGCCCACCGAACATGTTGGCGATCGAGTTGCCGACAAACCAGGCGCCTTGACTGCAACACGCGTCAGTATGGACAATGCATTTTACGCCATCCATCAGGGGAACGGCTCTTACCGGATGGGCTGCTCCTTGCGCGTGTAGAACATGCCGGTGATCAAGGCGAATCCGGGCGCCAGGGCGGCCTCTCCAACCCCCAGGAAGAACCTCGCCGTCACCAAACCAGCAAAGTTTTGGCAGGCTGCGTGGCACATGAGGATGATACCCCACAGGAGACTGTCGAGCTGTTAGCATGTCTCTCTCCGTACTCTCTGAGAACCGGGCGCGCATTCACGTACACCATGACCGAAAGATACTTGCCCGTGGGAAAGTAGACAATCAGGTAAGAACTCGGCCAACTCCAGGCTAGGTATCCAAAGTAAAAGACCGCGGAGCACCACGAGTATTCGGAGCCATGCAGGTGCTGGCAACGGCGACCGTTAGCTTGGATGGACGAGCAAGAATCTCAACACACTCAAGACACTCACAATGTCCTTGCGAAGTCCAAGAAGCGTGGACTGGCTGAGAGCCAACTTGTCCATGAACTGCAACATATAGCAGATGCCCATCAGGGGAATGATGCTGATGGGGTTGGTCAGCGCCGGACGTGACTGTCAAGGGGAGAGGTTACCGTACCAGTAGTCGATGCGACGGAGCACTCTCTTTTCCGTCCTGGCATCAACCGGGGTGGTGTCCAACACCTCGCCCAGCTGCATGTCCACGCTCTTGGGTTCGACCGAGCCGCCCTTGATGTCGTTGTAGGGGGGAGCGGGCGCCGAGACGGAGTTGTGTGAGCCCATCTTGGGTGTCTTCTTGGGTGTCTGGGTTCGGGTTCGGAGTCGGAGTCTGGGCTTCAGTGAGGCTGCGGCTGAGGCTGAGGCTGCGGCTGAGGCTGAGGCTGCGGCAGCGGGGCGTTGGCGGTGGAGGATCAAGGATTTAGAATCTCAACGCTGCTCAGCATGCCAGGCTGGAGAATGTGCGAGATGCGATGCGTATAAGTAAGTAACAGAGGAAAAAGGAATACGCAGGCATCGACTCGACGTTGGCCAGAGACACTCCCTTATCTGCCATAGTGATCATATCTCGCGTTGTCATGTCTTTGATACAGTATCTGTTGATATCTCGGCGTTGATAAAGGCATTCAGGTGGCGACGTGGTCTCAGCTGGCAGTGGACTTGATACTCGAGATAGGATTTTACCCAGCTAGGTACAGTGGACAAGTCTTTAGTCAGTATGTACAGCAGTAGGAAGTCGGCAAATCTGGAGTGGAGGGGCGAGGCTAAGGCTTAGGGGCACCTAGCGGGAACTTAGGGGTGCCTATTGATGCCTATTGGTGCCGATAGGTGCCTAGAGCATGCCTGGGCTGTGCTGGTTGGTGCCTGCGGCTGCCCGCCCATGGCAATTGTCCACTATCTCGGCAAATCTCTCGACGTTGAGTGGCTGCGTCGGCAAAGCGGGCGCGGTATCCGATAGTGTCGATATCTCGATATTGCATGCGCCGCCTCGCCTGTCGCGTATCGAAGACTCCCCCACAACCTCATCCACCACCCACAGCCACAACCACTCGTCGAGTGAGCGAACATCCGTGCCGAAGCATCCCTGATACCTGACACATACTGTGCACATCTGGCTGGGCGGCTGGGCGGCGGCCAGCACACGGCACACACGGCGTCACGGAGCAAGAGAAGAAAGCTACATGTACTTAAGAAATGGCCAACTTGCTGGTCCCCGTGTCCGCCATGTCCTTGGCCAAACGAAAGTCCAGAGCACGTCCTGACCATGATTTCCAAAATCCCCATCACCAACGAGGTCCAAGAGCTGGTCGACACCTTGATCGCGAAGCTGGACCAGGACCTGTGGAAAGTCAACCATGAGGTACGTGCTACAGAGTACAGACTACGTGCTGCCATCCACCTCGATTTTTCCCAAGGCTGACACTATTCTGTCCTGTCTCTGTCTAGATCTGGAGCAACCCCGAAATCGGTTTCAAGGAATACAAAGCCCACGACATCATCTGTGACTTCCTCGAGGCCCAGGGCTTCAGCGTCACTCGGCATGCCTATGGGGTCGAGACTGCCTTCGAGGCGCGCACTGGCGAGGGTGGCCGGCTGATCAACTTCAACGCCGAATACGACGCACTGCCCAACATCGGCCACGCCTGTGGCCACAACCTGATCGCCACCAGCAGCTTGGCCGCCTTCCTCGCGCTGTCATTCGCCCTCAAGCACTTTGGCCTCCCGGGACGGACGCAGCTGTTGGGGACTCCGGCCGAGGAAAGCGGCGGCGGCAAGGTCGAGCTGCTCGAGGCTGGCGCCTATACCGGCGTAGATGTGTCACTGATGGGGTATGTTGCTGTTCCACGATTGTCCCCGACGCTTCTAACCCAGCTGTAGCTGGGGGGTGGAATTGATTTTAATTGAATTAACTCGACTCGACTCGACTCGACTCCAATCAATCACTCACTAACATGTGTCCCATCTGCAGACATGGAGGGCCGCGCAAGATGGCCACTCTCCCCGAATGCGATGGCATCGGTGGAGTGCGCATGGTGGCGCGAGAACAGTTGTTTGTCGAGTTTACAGGCAAGAACGCCCATGCCGGCGGCAATCCGTGGGACGGGGTCAATGCCCTGGACGCCTTCGTGGCCGCGTACAACAACATCTCGATGCTGCGGCAGCAGACCAACGACACGGACCGCATCCATGTCGCCGTGCTCGAGGCCCCCAAGGCCGCCAACATCATCCCCGCCAAGGTGCGGGCCATGTTCACCACCCGCAGCCAGACCTTGAAGTCGTTGAGAGCCTTGACTGCCCGGGTCACGAAATGCATCGAGGCCGGCGCCCTGGCGAGCGGCTGCACCGTGGATATTACAAAGTAGGCTCGAGCTGTCCCCGTTCATTTCCATGGCTATGCCGACCTTGGCTTCTCACCACATTTGCTAACGGTGAATGCGCTCCTACACAGGGAAGCACACTACGCAGACCTTGTGTTGAACGACCCTCTCTGCGAGCGATACAAAACCCACGGCAGTGCCTACGGGCAAAAGATACTGGCCACCATTCCCGACTGGATGACCGGATCCTCCGACATTGGTATGTAATTTACTCCCTAATCTCTGACCTCTGATCCCTAATGTTGTCATCATCCTTGCCCCCTCCTTGGTCCTTCCCCCTTGCTTCTCCTCCTTGCTCCTTGCTCCTTGGTCTTTGCTCCTTGCTTCCTGCTCCTTGCTCCTGCTCCATACTCCTACTCCTTGACCCAACAAGATCTGGAGGGAAGAAAAAGCTGACCGAGCCGAATTCTCTCCACAGGCAATGTCACGTACGCAGTGCCAACGCTTCACTCCATGTTTTCTATTCCGTGCCCAGCGGGCTCCTACCCGCATCATCCGTCATTTACGAGTGCGGCAGGAACGCCCGAGGCGCACCAGTCGGCCTTGACCACGGGCAAAGTCCTGGCATTGTTGGGCTGGGACGCAGCGACGGATGATGAGTTTTACAACCAAGTGAAATCCAACTGGGACAAGAGCGTTGCAGAAGCCACAGCCTGAGATGGTTGTGGTTTGGGTTAGGGAGACCCAAGTCTTGGTGTTTTTGGTCCGGACAGGGTTTGCCCAAGTATATACTTATGAGTGACTGAGTGACTGAGTGATTGATGGCCCAGCCTAGCCTTTGAACTTTCTTTTCTCATATAACAGCAACATGATGATGAAGTCGTAAATCATCCCATGTCTTTTGATCTTGATCTCGATGCGCAATGACAACGTAAATGAATGGTGATTGGATTCGATATTTTCGATATTGATTTCAGAATTCTGATTTCTGTCCCCTAAGCAAGCATGACTGACTCTCACGGTGTATATGCATATACATACGCATACTATACCAGGTAGATGGATACCAGGCGTTGTTTGTGTTCAATGCGCTCGATTGACGCTCTAGACTCTGGCTACGACAATGGCATCTATATCTGCGCATGCATGATATGATGATAGATGGTACTGTACATCTATTTCCATATCAGCCATCAGCCATTAGATATTAGATATCAGATATCAGACACAGACAGTGGACGACGAGGTCTGGGCTCGGCTAGACGCGAGCCTTGGACTCAGCACCTGTGGCCTGTGTATCTAAGGTACTTAGTATGTACTGTAGCCGGTAGCCGGGAACCGGTAGCCGGTAGCCGGAGCCGCCACCAGATAGATTAAGTAGATACCTACCTATACCCAATGCAGATCCCAGATAGAGAGATAGGCGCCCGTAGCCTTTGGCCGACCATATCAATACCATAGGTACATACTGTATGTACCTACCTACCTACCTACCTACCTACCTACCTATCTATAGGTAATACTAGTAGATGATAGGCTGTACTGATACTCCGTCCTTGGGGTGAAGTACAGTAGAGTACAGTACACTAGGTATATATGACACTATACGGAGTATACTCTGTACGGATACATACAGTATCAACAGTACTCCGTACGTACCCTGCAGGTCCTCAGGCTCATGCTCAGGGACAGGGATAGGGACAGGGACAGAATCTACGCCCAAGGCCCATACTCCGTACTGACTATACAGAGTACAGGTAGGTATGTATGTGACTTATCTTTCTTTGCCGAGCCAGCCAATCTCCAAGCCTCGCCTAAGAACATCGAATAAGATAACATCTTGACCCCTGGCCAAAGCCTCGCCTCGCCTCCCATCAATCAATTGTTTCATTTGAACAAATAATCGACCAGACCAGACCAGACCAGACCGGCGATCGATGTCGATATCGATATCGATATCAATATCGACGCGGCAACGTCTGGGGCTTTGGAGTGCCGATATTGGTGGGTACCTGTACTCCGTACTCCGGCACAGATACAGAAGAAACCCTAAGGACTTCTATCCGCGCGGCCAGGTCTGGTCCCGGCTCTGGTCCACTGTGCAATTGCAATTGCAATCGCAATCGTACTCACATCGGCAGTGCGGTGCAGTGTAAGCAGAACAACACAACTCGATGAATAAATTCCGTCCGGGAAGAATGGAGCAGGGAAAGGTAGGTACAGAGTACAAGTACAAAGACACTCTGACTCCGACTCAGGCTGTTTACCACTAGTACTTCTCCTGCATCTTCTGGCACCTCTGTTTCACTGTCACTGTCACCTTCACCTTCACCTTCTCCTTCTCCTTCCCTTTCAGCTTACCACTTACCTGTCCTGCATTTCGCCCACCATGTCCCTCGTCATCATCGGTGGCGGCGTCATCGGCCTCTCGATTGCCTACTACACGAGCCTGGCCCAGCCGGGCCGCCGCATCATCATCATCGACTCGGAGGAGCGTCTGCTTGAATCCGCCTCGGGCTTCTCGGGTGGATATATTGTGCGGGACTGGTTCTCTCCCGCCGTCCTGGCCCTCGCCGAACTGTCGTTCCGTCTCCACCGGGATCTGGCCGACGCAAATGACGGACGCCGTCAATGGGGATACAGTGAGAGCGTGGCCTTCAGCCTCGTGGTCGAGCAGAGCACTGGTGCCGGTTCCGACGGGGAGACAAAGACTGTCCGTGGAGAAGACTGGCTTCTACACGGCACCAGTCGAGCAGAGGTGGCCAAGCAATACGCGGCCATCCCGGCCGTTGAGAGCCAGAAGCAGGATCAGGCCCGACAAGCCAGGAAGCAGGACGACCTGCTCAGGTTGGACGGCTCGCCAGTCTGGGCCAATGTGCCAGAGAGCGGCCACCTGGAGAGGATTTCCAGTCCGTCCGGCTGTGCCCAGGTCGAGCCACGCGAACTGTGTGAGTGGCTGTTGCAGCAGTGCCAGGCCCACGGGGTGCAGATCCTCCTGGGAACCGAGGTTAGAGGCCTGGTTCGAGACGGCAGGGGGCAGGTCGTTGGAGTGGAAGCCGAACGAAGAGAGAGACACCCACAGGGAGGATCGGGGAGATCGAGGAGAAAGACCGGCCAAATAGGAGAGAAGTTGTTCGTCCCAGCCAGAGACATTGTCGTCTCCGCCGGCTGCTGGACCCCGAGCGTCTACCACACCCTCGTGGGAAGCCCGATCCCCATCGGCATCAGGCCGCTTCCGGGCTACAGCATCGTGGTTCGATGTCCGCGCTACCACCGGCCCATCATGTGGCTGCACGACCAAGGCCAGGAGATCGAAGCCTGCCATTCCATCTTTTGCCCGCCCACCTCCGGCTGGACATATTCGCCGGAAGCCATGGCGCGCATGACCCGGGCAGGAATCCCCGAAATCTACGTGGCCGGCTTGAACAGCGAGCAAACCCCGCTGCCGCGCCTGGCCAGCCACAGTAGGCGGCTCATGGACCCGTCCAAGATGCGCGACTTGAAGCGGACGGCTGTTGCCCTCACCGGTCGTCGCCCCCAGACTGGGACAGATGCAGTTGGCACTGTAAGCCCCGAAGACGACTTGGAGGTGGTCAGAGAGGCGTTGTGCTTTCGTCCCGTGTCGGAGAGTGGCATCCCCATCATCTCCCGCGTCGCCGAGGTCGAGACAAGCGGTGGTGGAGGTCTGTATGTCGCCAGTGGTCATGGCCCTTGGGGCATTACCTTGTCGTTGGGCACGGGCATGGTGGTGTCTCAGCTGTTGCGGGGGATCGCTCCCAGTGTTTCGGTTGATGCATTCGCTCTCGGGCCGCCAGCCATGAAGCCTAAGCCATCGACTCTGCGGCCAGACGATCCTGTTCCGGCCAAGTTGTAGCCTAGGATTGGTTATCTGGTTGGATATAGTGGCCTCTAATCACATGCACACACGTACACACACACACACAGAGAGAGAGAGAGAGAGAGAGACAGAGAGAGAGAGAGATGTACAGAGAGATAGCAAGGGTAGACAGAGTGCAAAAGCATTTTTCCATTATCTTTGGAATATTCCCAAATGTGGTGAGCAGACGGTGCTGGCGTGTCGGTGTGATCCACCTGATATGTACGATCCCTCCCTCTGCCCCCACACGATGCTGACGGGCAGTGTGGCGGATGGACAGGTAAAGGGCATGGGCATGGGCAAGGAGGGATTCTGAAACCTAGGCGCATTGGTCACAGCAGCCAGCGACAGCGCCAGCACCAGCACCGACACCAGCACACTAGCACAAGATGTCGACATGCTTCCCCCAAAAGACGTCAGATTCCGGATGTACTGTTCTGTGTGTGTCTGGATGTACCATCGCAATGCCGGATCGCCGTCGCGGCATTCACATTCCTGTATAGGTGTAGCCCGGTGATGCAGGATCCGGCAGGACTAGTACGGTATGTACGGATCCTAAGGATCCATCTGTCAGGGCGGATCAGGGTCGGAGTCTAATGCGACGTCCTCTGGGATGCAAATGGCTGCGGCTTGCTCCCTAGAAGGCTGCTAAGAGTTGGGCGACGAGGTAGTTTGCACATGTGCTTTTGGTCGATATGTCGCCATTGGGTGTGGGTGTGGGTGATTGATCGTGCATATGGCACCTCCGATATCATCACATCCCTTGACTCGACCGGACATCCATGTCGACTTGACCGATCGCACTCTGTCGAGGGCACCTTGTCGAGTGCAAAGCTTCGTGCTCTGACAACCCAACCCAACTCATCTCACCGATCCGTGGGTCAAAAGTGACTGAGTAGTGACTGACTCCATGACCATATCATAACAGCCATGGGTTCCCTCTTTGAAGAAGTGCCACTCCCCAGTCATCCGGCGGTAGCAGTACCGGCCACGGCCACGGCCACGGCCAAGACCACAGCATCATCGAGCAGATACGATGCAAAGTACTTCCCGAAACAAGAGCCGTGGAACCCGCATCGACCGGTCAAGGTAAGCCCAGTCCCAAACATGATGCAGTATCATTTGTACCGGACAGGCAGAGCTGAGCTGAGCTGAGCTGAGAATTATCCTTGATCAGATCGTCATTGTTGGCGGGGGCATTGCTGGCGTCACCGCGGCGGTTCTGTTGTCACACAAGGTGCCCAACGCCATCATCGCCCTGTACGAACGCCAGGACAAAGTGGTAAGTAAAGAGTGGTCGAGGCAGGCAGCCGAAACCGAGACATGCAGTGCACCAAGTGCGTGGTGGATTGACTGGGTTGACCGGGGCGGCATAGGGCGGTACGTGGGCGCTCAACGTCTACCCCGGGGTTCGATGTGATGTGCCTTCGCACGCCTATCGTATGTGTCTTGTCTCTCTCTGCTACCTACTGTGCAGCACACAACAAACTCCCGTGCTGACAGGCCGGCAGAGCTCAATGTCGACCCCAGCCCCGACTGGTCGGAGTACTACCCGAAAGGGGCGGAGATCCAACAGTACTGGGAGCGCGTGGTGGAGCGGCACGGACTGACCGGGTCGGTGCATGTCAAGAGAGAAGTGCTCGCGGCGACCTGGCTCAAGGGTGCCAACCAGTGGGCAGTCGAGGTCAAGAACCTGGAGGATGGAACCGTGGCTGTCGACACGGCCGACTTCTTCGTCAGCGCACAGGGCCGCATCAACGTGCCCAAGTATCCGCAGGTCGAGGGCCTGCACGACGTCTTTGGCGGTGATGTGATCCATACATCCAGCTGGCCGTCCGGCTACGACTTGAAGGGAAAGCGGGTGGCAGTGATCGGCAACGGGGCCAGCGGCCAGCAGCTGGTGCCCAACATCCTGCCGCAGGTCTCGCAGCTCGACCACTATGTGCGCACCAAGACTTGGGTCACAGCGACCTTCTCGCGCGGTCTGCACGAAGCCACCGCCGATGCCCCGGGCGGCCCACTGTACACCGACGAGGAGAAGCGGGCGTTTCGAGAAGACCCGGCCCTGTACCTGGAGCATCGACGCTTCTTCGCGCTCAAGTTCCAGCGGCCGCCGGGCTCGGAGATCCTCGGCAGCGACGCCAACAACCAGCTGCGCGAGCAGATCATCGAGACCATGCGCCACCGGCTCGGTGGTGACGAGGAGTGGCTAGCCCGGGTGCTGCCCGACTATGCGCCCGGGTGCAAGAGGCTGACTCCGGCGCCTGGCTATCTCGAAGCTCTGCAGCAGGACAAGGTCGACTACGTGGTGGATCCCATCGTGCGCGTGGACGAGACAGGCATCATCACAGCCGACGGGAAGCACCGCCCTGTCGATGTCATTGTCGCTGCCACTGGCTTCCAGCTGGGCTACACCTCTCTTTTCCCCGTCATCGGGCCTGACGGAGTGGACATCAGGGACAAGTGGCAGCCTGGCGGCGAGATTGGATACCCAGAGTCGTATCTGGGCATCATGGCACCAGGCTATCCCAACTATTTCACCGTCCTCCAGGTTAGTTCTTCCTCCTCCTTATCTTGTTTTTGTTTTTGTTCTTGTGGACGTACAGCACCAGGCTAACCCAAATGTTTATACACACACACAGGCCCAGGGGAACGCACGCGGCGGCTCTGTTCCCTTACAGTGTGAGAATGCGGCCACCTATATCGCAAAGGCTATCCGCAAAGTGCAGGCGCAGAGTTACATCTCACTGGAGCCTCGGAAGGATGCGGCCGAGGAGTTCAACGACATCTCCAACGGCTACTTTGACGGCAAGGTCATCCGCGACAAGTGCAACAGTTGGGCCAAGCTGGGAGGTGGCGACGCGCGGGTGGTGCTCGCCTGGCCTGGCACCTACCATCACCGCGCAGCCGCCTTGCGAGACCCGAGATGGGAGGATTTTGTCTTCCAGAGACGGCCAGGAGCTTCTCGGAACCGGTTCGAGTACTTTGGCGATGGCTCGACGATTCGGGAGGTCACTGTGCGCGACGACAAGGATTTGACCAGGTACTTGAGAGAGGCTGACAAGTATGATATTGCCACTGTTCATGAGTTGTGGAACGAGTAGGTAGGTAGGTGGGTAGGTAGGTAGGTAGGGATTGAGAGACAGACTCGGAGTGCGTACGAGTAGAGCGTCGCAGGATGGACAGACAAGGTGTCAGGATTCAACGAGCGTGAGCGTGGACTTGCCGTGACACAATGGGGTTTCTTCTACGCACCTCTGCTGTCCTAAGCTACTAGTCTGCGGAGCAGTGCTGACTGCTTCTGGGGGGATCTCGGCCTGGATGAGATCGAGGATGTGAGACTCTCTGTCTGTTCTGGACCTGAACCTGGGCTCGGAAAGAGGTGATCTCAGGAATACCATCGTCTTCTCGCGGTTTGTTCCCACGACCTGACAGGCCAAGTGATGAAATTAAGCTGCCACACTTGTGCTCCGTCAATCTTCCCATCCAATATGAATATGATCGTACCGTCATTCTCCACAGGTGGTGCCCTTTTCCACCGTCCAGTAGGCTTATTGTAGCATGATCCTCCCAAGACCCCATCCATTCTGCACTGCGCTGTACTGTGCTGGCAGCTGGTGTGGCGGGTGCGTCGCAGAGTCGACCCAGTATCAGTGGGGTGGAGACAAGGTTTGAAGGGATTCTCGAGTGGCCGGGGGTCGAAGTTCGAAGCGCTGAGGGCGGCGTGCTCAGCTCAGTATTTCCGCGGGAAGGTGGTGAAGAAAGAGAAGAGGAGGATGAGGATGTTGTAGTCAGCTCGGTTGGGTCTGGCCATGGCTAGAACACAGTTGAGTGAGTGAGTGAGTGAGCAGCCTACCCAACGACTTGTTTGTACATCATCGGTCGAGATCTAAGCGGCCTAGAGGCGACCTGGCTTGATCTAAAAGTGCCTGTTCGATTCCGATTTCGATTCCGATTCTGGGCTGCAAGGAACCTGAAGTTGGCAAAAAAGAAAAACGCGTCCTGCCACCTGGTCGGGCCAGAAGGTGTTCGTGTAACTACCAGGTACAATGGTCATGTGATTGGAAATAGACAAAGAAACAGAGCAGAGACAGTGGCACATCATTCATGCCTTGGCTACTTAGCTATGCACCGTTTTCCTCCGGACATTCGATATTCACGTGCATGGCTGTGGTACGCACCCACCATCAGGGAAGGATCAGGCACAAGTCATGCAGGGAGTGGTTCTTCTCGAATCGAGTGATTGATATTCTTTAGAGCCGTCCCACACCAAGCCTGCCATATTCCTGGTCGACCTGGCCAGCTTTGTCCAGCAAGTTCTCGATACCCATGCGCAATCCCTTCAAGAATTCTCAACTGAAACCCCAGCCCTGTCCGCTGCCATGTTCCCAAGCCTGTCATTTCGCGGTTGCAGGCCTTAGGACTATGGCCAAGACCCCTTGTAGCGCAGAGACAGTCTCGATCAATCCCCTTGCTCGGATGTGGCGGCAGACGAAGTGGGAGCTGCGTGCTTGGATAGAGACTGTGACTGTGACGGGCGCACGCGAGTCAGATACTCCATGAATTCATCCATCGGCGGATTCTCAGGAATCGGGCGGTGATTGGGCTCCTTCATTGGCCCGTTCCAAACAGGATCGTCCCCATTAACGACAACAACAACTTCTGAGTCTGATTGTTCGCCGTCATGGCCGCTGCTGCCGTCGAGCCATCTCCAATCTGGATCCTCTTCGCGGAAGGATGTTAGGCCGCGCTTCAGGTATGAGAATGGGAGCCGTGCCACCATCCACGTCTGTGGCCACCTTCCTTCACGCGCATACCATTGTAGCTCTCTGTTGGGATCAGGTATAAAATACGGCTCTCCGGTTATCCGTCTCATGGGAAAGCAGTTGAAGACCAACCAGAGACTCTTGTCCGCGGGGTGAAGGAAGACTAGGAAATCTTGCTCCTCCTCAAGAAATTCGCGATAATCACAGATGTCGTCGTACCTCGAGCACCACAGTGAGCCCAACATGAGCCCATAATGAAGAGAATGGCCATCAACAACATCAACCGACTCTGGAGACTGAGCAGGCGGTGTGATTGGAGGCACAAACTTGTAAATTTGATCCAAAGACCCGACCTTTATCATCGTTCCTTCAGGTGCGCCGGTTGGATCCCAATCTGGATCTTCCTTTATATACCACTCTGGAATGTAATCGTAGAACGCGGGATGGGGGCTGAGGTAGAAACTCGGCCCACCGCGCTTGAAAAGCCAAAGTGATGGAAACGCCGGGCCATAGTCACCTGACGAGAAGTCTCTGCGAAAGATGGCAATGGATTCCTCCTGCGAGAAATCCAAATCTTCCACCGCTTTGACGTATTGACCCCTAGAGAAAGGGCCATGGCGAGGCAGGGAGATCGATCGTGTGCCCATACGCCCTGGGCAATCATTGCTGTTGGCCCAACGGCAGAAAAGCCGTTGTTTGTCTATGTCCCATCTAGACATAAGCTCGTCTCGTTTGTATGATTCTAAGATATGTGAGCGACATTACGCGATAAGAGGGCGGGCAACTAAATACTCACCGGGTATAGAAGACGGCAATTGCACTCCTTTGCATTCATTGTAAACCGCAATAAACTCTTGTCGTGTCTCTGGATCCAGATCCTTCTCCATGGCTTCAGGTAGTGGCTAGGCGTGTGTTCCACAGTTGAGATCTGTCGCGATGGGTGCTAGGTTTTGGAGGTAACGCGACAGTAGGAAACAGATATATATATATATATATATATACACCGCACGGAGGTGAGTCATATTGAGACTGATGACTCCACGCTGGGGGACAGAGTAAAGGGGTGAAGGGGAGAAAGGGTGAAGGGGAGAAGGGGTGAAGGGGAGAAGGGGAGAAGGAGAGGAGTGAAGAAGGAAACAAACACACCCATATAGGTGCCTGGAGAAGGGAAGAATGACGTCGGCACACGTGAGCCGGCTGTGGTTTGAGCAAACAAAGGCAAATGGCAAACAGAAATAAAAATCTTAAAGCAGCGGCACTTTCCCCCTGGTCTGCCGCAGCCTCGCCAGCAGAGAGCCTCTTGGAACACATGGAAGGCTACAGTGCTCTTCGGGTTGCCCCGTTTCTGGCACATATGAGGACGGCTCGATGCTTCATTGTAGGGCCGGCATAGTTCTTTCAGCTCGAAACAAATCGTGATAGCAGCTTACACGCCCACATCAAGACAATCATGATGTCGCAATCAAGAATTAGACCTCTGGTACATGGTTATCGCGCACGAGTGAACTCCCTCTTGGCTTCTGCGTCGCCGGCATACAGTGAATTTCCTTTGTATTAGTGACTATGGCAGCCTTCCTTTATCCTAGTGAAGCTGGTAGCCATTACTTAAGGGTATGTATAATCCTCAAGCTTCTCATCTACACCTACACCCATATTGGCACTACATACTAAAGCCACGTCTACCCCGGCTGGGGATAGTCTTGTTGACTCAATCCGATCTCTTGTCAGTGTCCTGAGCAGATTTCGCGACAAGGCTCCTGAGAATGCCAGAGTAACCGCTAAAAACACGCGCCAGCTCAGCCGTCTCCTAGCTGACCTGAAAGATCGAATCGATATACATAGCTTTGCGGTAACTGCTCGCCTGCTCGAGTCCTTTGTATTCACATACAAGCTACTCGAGTTCTGGCGGCTGCAGTCTGAGAACGAGAGCCCCGAAAGCAACAAGGAGAAATTCACAAGCAGCGAGGCCGTCACAGGCAGCGAGGATAGCCTGGCAACAGTGCTTGTACAACTAAAGGAAGATATCAACCAGATAAAACCTGGTACAATATCCGACGACCAAATCAGCGGACAAGAGATCATAGGTATACCAAATGGATCAGCGTTATTGCTCCTTATAGAGCTTCTCTATAAGGAGCAGGTCGACGAAACGTCGACCTCAAGCCCTGGTAAGTTTCTCTTACGACACCGCTGCTCAACAGTAGCAAGCGCTAACCGTATCACAGAGGCATTTGGGACATTCCTGAATGGCATGGATGTTGGATTCGTATTCTCTAAGGCTACATCTAAGGATGTAAGAGACTTCTGCGGGCTGCCGCAGACAGTATTCGTCTGTCGCAGTCAGTCGGGACTCATGGTGACCGGGTCAAGAGACCGGTGGTTCCCTTTTGCAGTACACAACAAGCTTTCTGAATTGCGTCTTTCCCACATTGGGAAAAGCAATCTAGCTGCGATGCAGCAGAAGTGCTCGGTCCTGCGACAGGCTTGGGATACACACAACGAGGAAATTAAGACAGTCAAGCGCCATTTGGAAGACATTGGATTCGAGCCGTTTGATCACAGAGATTGCCAAGGCATGGCCTTCCAGATTTGCAATAATCGAGAAAGACCATTCGCTCCACGGCCTCCCTGTTCGTAGTGTCAGCTTCTACATCGTTTTGATTATCATGGACCCATGGAGGAGGAGGAGGAGGAGGAGGAGGAGGAGATACAGGTGCCGGACAAGACGGGACCCAAGAAGAAGAAAGGGCTTGGAAAGGCTGGGGATTGCGCGGAGGACGTATGCCATGTGCTCTGCAATAGGGTTCCCCTAGCGACACTTGACACGAACAGAGATTCGTCCGTCTGCTAAGCTCGATCTTGGTATGAAAATAGTTAGGAAAGCACATCATATCAAACTCCGGACAACCTAATGCCGACTTCCAGATCGGATTTTCCTGTAGAGATCACGCGGCGGCGGCGACAGTGTTCAACTCGAGTTATGGATAGAGAACCTTGCCCCGTGTCTGTTGACGCTGCCGACGCTTAAGCAACCTGTCACAACAAAGGCATACGCGCTCCCCAACCTTTTCCCTTTTTACTTACAACGGCCACCAGTGCATTTGGTCATGTCCTTTTCCCCTAAGTCACATCTATCATATAGGTAGGTCACCACAGCCAGCCTGTGATCAAAGACCATATTTGATCATCTATTATCAAATGAAATACTCATGTAAGACCGCATCTACATACCAAGTACATCAGAAAGGAATGAGATTCGAAAATCCCAGCCAGATATTGCAGTGACAGAAGTCCTCAACATGTCTCCGGTCAACCACAATTGCATCAGGTTTCTGGCAATCCGTCCCATTGTCCTAGTACGTACGGTCGATACTCGGGAGCCCACATCTGGACTTTGACCCATTCTTCCAGATCCTCCTCGCTCTCGACCGGGATATCGCTTGCTTGTGCCAGCCCTCCCTCCACGGCACTACGGATAACTGCCATGGCAATCTTCAAACTGACACGTCTAGCATCCTCAACATCGGGAACGAGTGCCTTTGTGGGATCGTGCAATGCCGGGGCTTCCTTTGCCAACGCCGTTACGGCCGCCACCAGCATTTTGTCTGTCACCAGTTTGGTGCGAGATAACACCCCGCCCAGTCCAATTCCGGGAAAACAAACGGAATTGTTGCATTCTGCCACTTCAATCTTTTCTCCGTTGTACTCGACAGGGGGGAAGGGGGAGCCGGTAGCCACTAGGGCGCGGCCGTCCGTCCAGTGGATGAGATCTTCAGGCTTGGCCTCATGTAGACGCGTTGGGTTGCTGAGGGGGAAGATTATGGGTCTTTCCACATGCTGGGCCATTTCTTGCACGGCTTCCTTGGTGAATGCACCGGGTTTGGTCGAGGTGCCTATCAGGACGTGTGGTTTGACCTCGGCGATGACTGCCTGCAAGGATCTGGTGTCTTTTCCTTCCCATTCAGAAGACTTTTGAGCAAAAGGCTTTTGGGCGACCGAAAGATCGTCGCCCATGCTGTCGAGTAGAACGCCGGCTTTGTCGATGCACCTGTACGGGAGGTTAGCCTGTACCAGAACACAAGGGGGAGGGACCAACCAGATCTGTCTTGCTACCTCGTCCTTGCTTTTGCTCGCTTCCGCCGCGATGGCGGCCTGCACCTGTTCCGCTATGCCACAACCAGCGGTGCCGGCACCAAAAATAAGTACGCGCAAATCGCTCAATTTGACCTGATTGATCCGTAGGCCGGTCATGATGGCGGCTAGAGCCACACAGCCCGTACCCTGAATGTCATCGTTAAACACGGCGATTTCGTTGCGGTATCGGTCGAGTAGCCTGCGGCCATTATTGATTCCAAAATCTTCAAAATGAATGTAGGCGTTAGGATACAGCTTCTTGGCTGTCTTGATGAATTTATCGACGAAATCGTCGTAGGCTTGGCCCCGGACGCGGTTTATACGATTGCCAAGGTAGAGAGGATCGTTGAGAAGCGTCTCGTTGTCGGTCCCGGTATCAAGCACCACCGGGAGAGTGCGATCCGGGTGGAGGCCGGCGCAGATGGTCATGAGAGCCAGCTTCGCAACACTGATCAAAATGCCCCCGATGCCTTGATCGCCGATTCCCAAGATTTCCTCGCCGTCGCTCACGACAATGTAGTCCACCCCGGCCTCGGGATCGTTGGCCTTGACGAATTTACTGAGTCGCTCTTCCACCTCGTCGGGATGCTTGATGCTCAAGAAGCACCCGGTAGGGCGACGGAAAATGCGCGAATAATTTTCAATGGCATCGCCTTCGGTGGGAGTGTAGATGATGCTGAACATTTCCTTCAGATGGTCCTGGATCAGGCGGTAATACAGGACGGTGTTCTGTTCGGCCATGGAGGTCATGAAGGTGTTCTTTTGCAAGTCGTCCGGCTGGTTGCAATACTGCTGATAAGCACGCTCCACCTGTTCATCCAGCTTCTGGACGTTGGTGGGCAGAAGCCCCTTGAGGCCAAAGTCTTGCCGCTCCTGGGAGGTGAAGCAGGTTCCCTTGTTGTAAAGTGGGTTGTCCAGAAGGAGTCGGCCGGACAGCGGGACCTTGAGCGGCCCTTTGTTGGCCAGAGGAAGATGATCGTACTTTCCTGGCACAGAGGCCATGGTTCTGGAGCACCCTTTCTGCCAGACTCGCCCACCCAGTCTCATATCGGACGCCTTGACTGGGGAGCAGGGAGCTGTTGTAGATGCGTCGAAAGAACTGCCGCTGACACCCGAAGCTTTGGGTCAAACACTAACTAGTGACTACACTTGCAGGGGGGGCATAGCTCTGAAATGGTGTCAACACGGGTACTTTTGGAACCGGGCGTGGAAGGATTGACGAGCCTAAAGGGGTGTCTAGGCGGAGAGGCAGGGGGATGGAGGATCGAGGATGGATTGAGGATGGATCGAGGATCGTAGGCGGTGGTGGTGGCGGTGGGTGGTGGGGGAGGTGCTATGATATTATGTCTAAGGTAGGTAGAGGTGATCTGTACCCAAAAGTACCTAATACGGAGTACAGGTATTATCTGTACCCAAAGATATCTAATACGGAGTACAGTATTATCCGTAACTAGGTAAGGTAAGGTACCTAGGTACATCCTTAGGTACCATAGCGTGTATACGTAGGATCTAAGAACCGTAGTAGGATACTAGTATATACACGGTTCCTAAACCGCGATATATATTACTACTAACGTGCATGATAAGCGAGTGAAACAGACAAGCGAGTGAAACACCTCACCAAATTTCCACACCATCCAACTTTCAATATGATTTTCTCCACCACCAGCGATGGCAACTATTAATGAGGAACGAAAAATAAATCTTGCTCTTCAAGCTATCAGAAAAGACCAAAATCTCAGTATCCGGGCCGCAGCTACGATCTACAAGTGTAATCACGTTACC